TACTTCCAAGAGACTTTCCTCTAAACGTTAGGTTGATAAGAAATTATATATAAGTTCCTTCGATTGCTTTCAGATAGCTACTTGAATTGTGGTCCACTTAACGCTACAAGTGCTTCGGAGCATTCTTTTTCTCCTTTCTTTTAATGAAGAAAGAAGTAGAACGCTTCAAAGCATTTGTCAGCATCAAATGAATTACAGCCGATAATGCACGTCTGAAATTTCATTGTTCTTTATATTCTCTGCAGAGAAAAATTGTGCAAGGCCTCAGGTACGCGGATGAACAGGCAAAGCGTACTCAACCTCCGCCGGACATACCGGGAGGCCCGTATCACAAAACTTCGCAAATTTACTACTACCTCCGAGATGCGAGACGTGAAGTTCAACAACCGATGTTGATTGCTGGCTCGAAGCAAATTGGTACAGAGTGAGTATAAATGTCAGCAAGTTTACATTTAAAAGAATTAAAATCAATACCTGTACATATGGAGTGTTTTTTGGTCACGTTTATCAGAATAATTGAAAAAATTGATTCATATATGGAAATTCTTTCATCAAATGAGCAAATTAGTGATCTATTGCTATTAGCGATATGTTAACTTTTAGGAAGAAGCCTCTTACCGACCAGAAATACATTACCCCGGGGAAAACTTATAATTTCTGAGTTCTGAACTTCTCAGAGTCTCAAGTCTAGCTGTTGGTTGCCTCGTGCTGCAAACACATTGATTAATATTGTTCAATGACAAGTTTGCTTAGCTACTGTACATAGAGAATAAATTAAACTGTTTTTTTCGTTTATTCAATTGTTAATTACACCCTCGAAATAAAATTGCACGTAAAATTATAAAAACCTTGGAAAGCGGTAAGTTGAAATAAAAAATGTATACATATTCTTTCTGATGTCTTACGAAATATCTATCGAGATATGATTAAATGCTATCGTGGTTGAGAATTTAAATACACCGCGAGATAAGGGATTTCATCGTCGTTCATGGTTAAAGTAATTTAATTTTTATTCATTAACAATACATAAATTAATAACGGACAGGAATGTACTCGTATACAGATGTGCTGCGTACAGCAGATACATGTACATGCATATACATATATAAGCCATCTCTCATAGATAATTATGATACATTATTACATACATACAAGGCTAAACGCTTTCGTAAAATACACAGTGGGACTAAAATAATATTGACACCAATACATTTGTACAGTTTCACAGTCAGTAGTTATAATGTGATATCTAACAACTGCAGTACCTCAAGTACTGATTCTAATACCTGATTCTAATTCGACAACAACAGTCATAGCGAGCGCAAAGCGTCGCCCGTAAACAATCACCTGGACGGGGAAGAAGGAGGGGAAGGAGGCGGAAGTAAATTTTCCGGTAATGATTCAATAGGGGATTTGATTCTGATAATACTGTATCATATCGTAAGTTTTCGTACGGAAGTTGAGGTAGCTATTACGTATTACATTGATCATAAAGATCGCCGCGTCACGATCGGTGGCGGTCGGCACAAACCGGCTGCGTAGGAGCTTGATAGTCTGTCCGCGGAAGCACGGTAATCCCGTGTCGAGCATGAGGGAGACGAGGGAGATGATGGCTTCCTGGTAGGGCCTACAAGATAAAGAAGATTCAAAAATGCATTTAAGTGACTATTCAGTAGTATGAATGATTCTAAATAGCCTTTATATGCGTTAATATCCGAATGTAAACTTTTTTGTTTTATTATTGCGATATATAGAATGTAGTGCGAATGCAAACACTTGAAATGATATTGTTGAAATAACGCTCACCTAACTGCGAGGAAGGCCTGCACGCACAGTTCCACGAACCAGCGGAACGGCGCAGCTTCCATTTTGCCGCCCATCACGAGGACCATCTCGTCAGTGAGCTTGATATCGGGCTCAAAGCCCAAATTACCGCCAGGCGAGCTCTCGAACATGAAGCCAAAGTCAATGTGTATGATATGACCCTGAGTGTCTATCATGATATTGCCGTTGTGACGGTCCTTTATCTGCAGGAGGTAGGTGATTACGCTGTAAGCCGCCATCGACTTGACGAAGTTACGACGAACGTTTTGGAACTCCTTGGTCGTCTCGTCGCCGTGTTGCGTGATGAAGTATTGATACATGTCGCTGTCTGTTGTACGGCCGAGTTGATCCCTTGACGTTGCATGCGGCACACATTCTATCACGCCACACTGATAACACATAAATATAGATATATAATTATATATACATAGATATATAATCATAAATGAAATATCAAAGTGTACCGTTATGATAAATCAGTATCTATCTTACCCCGGGAGCTGTAGCTACCACTCTGTAGGGAAACAGGAAGAGATTCAGCCCCACCTTCTGGAATACGTTCTTAAAAATGCTGATCACTTGCAGGGCGAGCATGTCTTGTCTGACGTCGTCGCCGACTTTAAAAATAGCGGCCTGCCATGTCTGCTCTTCCGTTTCTCTCTTGTTCTCGACTTTCCCGTTGGTCGACACCGCTAGCGCGATATTCTCGAGCTCGTTGATGCCGTACTTCTGTACTTTGAAGCGCGCTAAGAACGGCGCCTTAGCAGCACTGTAATTATAGGATAATTGCATAATATTTTTCATATTCCATAATATATACATCGTTGTCTTTTTAAATTATGCTAAATCGTACCTTTGCATAGGAGTGCCACTCTGATAATCTATATCGATGACCATCGCCTCGGGATTCGACGGCAGATAGCAACCAGGTTGTACTTTGACCCTAGCTAAAGCATCCAAGCACGCGGCTTTGCGTTCCGGCCCTTTGGGATACGGCCGGATTTCGCCCGAGATGTTAGTGATCTTCTCGAAAAAGTCGAACTCCCTCTCGTAGAATTGTTTCGCCGGGCCGGACAGGGCGTTCAGAATATTCTTCGTCAACGAATCTAAGACGTCGTACAGCACTGGATCTTTCACCTGCTTATCCTCGTCCATGTATACATTAGTGTGCATGTTCCATATCAATTGATGTGCCACCACCTAAACCATGTCAAGCCAAAGCGATTACGATTCTTTACAATTTAATATTCAACTTAACTTTAGATCTTGCAATACGTATTACCTGTGATCGTTTAGCAATCTTCTTAATAAACTCGATTACATAGCCCATTGTGTCGTGACGGACAGCTTGCACTAGCTGGGGTATATAGAAAAGCACAGCGTCGGCTGGATAGCTGTCCAATACTTGCACTGCGTATTGCGCAGAGATGGGATGATGCGGGAATTGTCGCGAGAAAAACGCCAGCGCTTGAATCGGAGACACTCTCGCCCACGTTAACATATAAACTAACTGAAACAGAATCAAAATTTTTTTATAAAGATTTTTTATAAAGAGATGATTATCTCTAACTTCTACTTATTAATTGCATATTAATATTACAGATTATGGAAGTAAATGTTGAGTGGCTAATTTGTAAATTATTATTTATAAAACGTAAAGTTAAAAATCTCACTTCAGGTACATCGTTGAGAAGCGTATCCGTCGTAACGAGATACTGCAATGCTTCCGACACATGCATGACTATCACGGGTTTAAGGCGCACCAGGCCGCAAATCTCCTTGATGATGACTTCGTGATTCTTTAACCGCACCGGCAAGAATATGGCCAGAACAGGACTGATCTCCCACGCGAGTCGCGTATATTCTCGCCAGCGATCGTTCATCCCCTTGGCACGCCAGTCCGCGATACTTCCTTCTCCTTGCAACGCGAGTTCCGGTCTTCCGCTGGGATTACGCCAGACCTTGACAAGAAACGAGATTTTGACATTTAGAAGCCAATTCTCGTTATTGCGACAAATCATAGTTTCCTGTATATTTGTGACTCATTAAGAACTCACCAGTAACATTTCGATTTCAACCGCTAACAACTCGAGAATCAAATTTCTCTTTTTGATGTAATCTTTCACGAGAACATTGGCGTTTACAATTCGTTTGCTGCGATTGCTGCGTTTGCTCAATGTATTGGTACTGGTCGACATAGGCATGGTGTTCATCCATACGTTGCTGGACGATCTCGAGAAGTCGTTCGGCGTAGGAGCTAGCGTGGCAGCTAACGAACCAATTGTCTCGCTTGGAATCATCGCGGTTGTATAAGTTTGAGATGTCACGATCTCAAATTCGTTATCGGCCCCTGTCATCATTAAGTACTTTTTGTCGCTATGCATTACCTATGGAAATATATAAAATAGATTAATACTAAAATAAATTTCAGTATTTTAATGAAAAACAAAAGGAATAATTTTGTATAATTTCTATAAATAAAATCAGTATCTTAGTTTTTAATTTTTAACGTGCTGAGCTTACCTGCCAAAAGCGTATCAGCGTAACTATGTCTTCGCTAAGCTGGTCGATCTCTTGGGTCGGCAATTGACGTTCTCGGCAGAAGTAATCCAGACAATTGGAATAGATACGTTCTCGCAGGACATTCTTACTTAAAGTTCTGCAAAAATAGATCCAATTATTTATTTTCTGTCATAGTCGTTCACGCGATAATGAAGGACATATTACCTTGGTAAAACGTCACCTTGCAGCAGTACCAAGCCGCATGAGAGAAGTTTAAAACGCACGCCAACCGCGGCGACGTGTCGAGTGATACCGGCTTCCTCGCCGGATGCACCGACAGTCATGGGTAACGAGCGATGCAGGAGTAGGGCGATCATATCGACCGTCTCCTGGCAACAATACTTGGCTGTCTCGACGAGCTCCACTATGAAGGTCACCCAGATATCGTGCGGTTTCACCTGTGGCGGATTAGGTCCGAGTTTGCAGCCCTCGTAGACCGCGAGCGGACTGACCTCCTCCTCGTTCGGTGCGAACAAGCCCATCCTCTTGTCAACGGTATACTGCCACGCGAGTAACATCTCTTGCAAAAATCGCAATTTCAAATCTGGCCGTACAGTTAGGATCCACTGCCAGCACTCGACCGCTGTGGTCATGGCTGCGGTCGTGAACAGTTCTATCTGCGAGCACGCGACCGAGTGTAACAACCGTCTATGTATACCTATAAGTGTGAAGTCTAATCAGCGCAAAAATTGAAGAGAAGCTTGCCAATAAATTACCTTACAAATTAATCGAAGATCTAAGATTACAACATTGACTAGTTCAAATTTACCAGGCATGGATATCAAAAGAGCGGTAGCGCGCCAAAGAGCTCCGCGATGAATGGTATCATCGCGATCCTGACAGGCGCGATGGACAGCCTCGATCAATCTCTCGACGACTTTGTCCCTACATTCTTCCAGAGTCACCTCCGCGGTTGGCGATTCGGTGCGTGCAAGGGCAAGCATACCCGCCACCTCGCCGGCGTGCCACGATCTCGTAGACATCATCGACAGCAGCCACGAACTCGCGCCCTTTACGGCGCGTGGTCTCTTATCCAACGAATTCGTCTGTTAAATATATCGCTTCGTCAATATAATTAATAGCGAGTACAGTTATCACTTACAATGCGTTAAATAGAAGAATGGTTAAGATAAAATCTAAAATAAAACGTTGTATGATACGCTTAAACATTGCTACGTACATTTGCTGGAACTATTGTGGGAATCGCGGTGTCCACGAATTCGAGAACCGAGTCAATGGCCAACGACAAACCAGAATGATGTCGCATGCCAGCAGACGGTATTTGATTGATGTACTCTTGTAAATGCGACCTGGTAGCTTGCGGCGCCCACTTCATGGCTTCCTGCACAATGCCCTTGCATCTCGCGGTAAAATCCTTCACGATAATCTGCAATTCGCGCGACGTCACGGCAACAGTTTTATTTTAACAAATAAAGCGTCAATAACATCATACCTCTCTTGCTTCAATAGTGTTCATCAACTCGATGCTATATGGCGTGCCGGGTATTCTTAAGCTAGGCGTTTCTTCATTTGGGTCGAGTTGTAACGAATACGATAAAATCTGCAATAGTCATGTAATAAATAAGTCAAGTATAGAATATACTAAAACAATAACTGTAAGGGCCGGTTGTTCCAACATATTGGTAAACTAACTAATAGTTAAATCATATATGTCTTTGTTTTTCCTTTAAATAAAACAAGGATAGACATATGATTTAACTATTAGTTAGTTTATCAATAAATTGGAACCGGCCCTAAGTATAATAAAATAAATAAATACCTGTAATATGTCCAACATACTCCAAAGGACTTTACAGTTCCACAATAGATGCGGGAAAGCGTCCACTAAAGCACTGAGGTATTTGTCTGCCACCCGCCTGATTTGCTTGTGCACGTGATTGAAGTGCACCAGCAGAAATTGCGCGTGATTCTCGAGCTCCTTCTCACGTTGCTCGTCCTTCGGTTTGCGCTGCATCACATCCTTGAATTTCGTAAATACGGAGTCCGCTACGCAGCATATGCACTGCCACATGCCGCTCTTGTCTTTTTGCAAATCGGTATCGCACAGGTACTGCATTATCGGTTGCAGACTCGGTTCAGGACTGTTAGCCACCCGTAAGGTCTCTGACCAATAAACGGAGAGCAAGTATGTGCACTGCGCGAACTGTAGCTTGGTCACGTATGCCGATATATCATTTGTACTGAAAAAAAATCACGGAAATTGTATAATAGATTCAAAAAATTCAGAAAAATATAGATATTTCGATAATAAAATTTACTTATAATTAGAAATAGATGTCACGCATTGAAATATAAAGCATTCTTCAGACAATTAATTAGATTGATTAGAAATCGGGAGACGTGGCGATTTAAAGTGAATCGTACCGGGTGCTTATCTTCAATATTTGACTCCGCAGCTCTTGTAGCTCATTCAACGAGACACTGTCGTTGCGCACCGCCGACGTATACTGCAATTCTCGCATCTCGAGACGCGCGCTGGTCTGAGAGATAAGGTAGGGTGACTTGACAGCGATCTCCTTGACGCCATCGTACCATTCAGGCGGCCACAATCTCGAGGGATGATCCGCGGCGAAGCCCATTATAACGCAGTACAACCAAAAGTCCTTGAACAGCTTCAGAAGTCGTTTCTGCGGATGTCTGATCGGTGGTAGACGTCGCACCAATATCGCGATCACGGGGATGAGTACTCCTAGATTTCCAGCGCTACTAGCTGCTTTCTGTGAAACACAATATAAAATAATGCTTTTTATCCAATTACTGCTGACGTTTTGTCAAGATTATTGGTTTTAAGCGATCTTACCGTCGCAACGATACTATTCGGCATCTTGTCGCTGGCGCGTTTACCCTCGAGGCCCAACTGCACGAACAGTTCCAGAAGATGCAGCAGCAAGTCGTCCAACTCCGATTCGCCCTGTAGATTTGCCGCTATGTTCGCCAGGGCGTTTGTAACCGCCTTGGAAACATGGCAGTATTGTTTCCGATCGTCGTTCGCGGCGTACGTTGCTGTACTCGACCCCAACGACATGGAGAACATCTGCATAATCCCTTCATAAATCTGCGTAACAATGATAATATAATAATCCGAAGAATGTAACAAATAATTCTTAATATTCTGAATGAGTGTTGCCTCGCACACCTTTGGTTCGCACTTGGCAATGATCATGCAGCCCAATTGATCCACTATGAGGAAGTCGAGGTCGCTGGGAGTGCGGCAGAAAAGCTGCTGGAAAAACGGAAAGATCGTGCGCATCGTCTTCGGGGTGTCCTTCAGCGCCACGGCGACGTGGCCCAACATGATCACGATGTTCTTCGATACCACTTCGTTTTTTAATTTCTCATCGCTCTCGCTGAAACCAATAAGTTAAAATTGCAACCTTCCTTCGCATTACCTGCGCTGATTGTAGAAAAATTGTAAACGTTGACAAACTCTTTCGATGAAACGTACCCATCGGATATGTCCGCGGTGTATAATCTGTTCGAGACACTGGCCACGAGCGCTGGGACGCAGTCCGGATTCACAGAATGCGCAGCTTCCAGAGCGATGCAGAGGTTGCCGATGGCCGCGTCGCGAAGTTTCGCAAACGCCGTGTGCACCGACGATGTCGTCTGTTTCGAGTCGCTTATTTCCTTCCCTTGGACTGTGCAGACGTGTGCATATATATCACATTTATATCATACATGACAAACAATAATTTTATGATTAATCAAATTAATTATTAATATTATGTGATAAAGCTATTTTACCCAGCACTTTAAACTGATGTTCCTTCATGGAGTATTCACTGTGCTGTCGATATAGCTTCAAAAGAATTGGCGATGGCGCGATGAGGAAGTCCCGTAGGTAGTATATAGACGTGCTGGCTATGTTGGGAAATTTCTGCGCCAATTTTCCCAGTCCCTCGAGACAAACCAACAGCAACGGCATGTGCGCCAGCACGAGCTTGGGCCCGTGATTGGAATTAATCTTCTCCACGAGTCGTCCGCACAAACTATCCGCACCTGAGAATTAATGTACAAGGTTTTCTGCATAAAAATATGAATATATAAGTGTATATATATTTTATAGAAATATAATTGCAACGCTTTGACTGCTGTAAAATTATCAATTGGTTATTTAAATGCAGCACATGTAAAGATGCTTTGTAAGTGTCGCTCCGTGCGTAAAAATCTGCATATATAAAAAACGTTATTTTGAAAAATTAACATGAGAAAATTCACAAGTCTTGGAGATCAACAATTTATCTACAACATCAATTTAAAATTAATTAAAAATACTGTAAAAAGAAGCAAATTGTTATAGCAAAGACATTTGTTAATAATTATTAATGGCAAGCATGTTAACGAGGATGTACACGAGAACACACACGGGTAACTCAATATACCCTTGCCGATCAGCATTGAACTGATATCTGCGAACAGCGCGGACAAATCATATTCGCCGGGTACTGGAAAAATAACGTGAGAGCTTTAAAAGATCTGTGTGCTTGGACGGGTGTCGCGATCGAAACAGACATTGATATCTCGCGGTCACACTGGTGCATGCATTTAGAGTCACGAGCACAGTCACGAAAAACTCCTCTACAGTGTACAGATTATTTACTCTCGTGAACTATAGTAGTGCTCCTAATTTTAGTAAAGAGATGCTTCCGCGGCTCACGATCTCTGTTTCGTCAGCGACAAATGGACGTCACCTCACCTGTTTCATCACCGATCGCCCAGACTAGCAGGTCCACGCACGCGGAGTTGGCCATCACGTTCACCTTAAAGCGATTCACAGTCCGGAAATTTGTGTCGATGTCTTCACGCTCGCTCGCGTCGTGCTGCCGCGATTGCAGCTCCGTTTGACCCGAGAGAAACAGACCCTTGACGAATTCCTGCACGTCCCTCGTGAACGGAGCCGGTAAGTCGCGCTGATTTTGCAGCAGCTCGCGCAACAAAGCTACCATAACGAGATTCATCGTCTCGCTGAACGTACGATACGGGAAAATGTGTACTTGGCCGGAACTGTACACCTGAAAATTAATGCAAAACCAATTAGTATTACATGTAAGTATAGATACAAATATAATATGTAATGTGAAACTTACTTGCTGTGCCTCTTCATCCAGAAACGTCAGGATCTCCTTGGTAAGTAATTTTTTGGCCAAAGCCAGCACACTCTGTAAATGCACCACGGTAAACTGCATCCCGGCCCTTCTCTCGGGGCTCTCGTTGCAACGCATCTGCGGGAACTGATTGAAACTCGATCCGTAACGGCTGAAGAAATACGTCGTCGGATCGTACGGCACCGACAGGAAGGACTGCAGCGACGGTCTCTTGCCGCAGTGATAATCGTGACTCTCGTAGCCCGGCAACGAGTTGTCGATACAAGAATTAAAATTGCCACTCAGAGATCGCGGGATTATGGGCCTGAAGTTCGAGAAGCTGTGCTGTTTCTTATCGGGCATCAAGCGAATTTCCGCGCTGCTTGCCGGCGAGGGCGTATCGCGCCGTGGAAAGATACGGCAGAGCAACGGCGGATCCGTACACGCGAAGCGACCCATGGATCTTGCCAGACCGATCAGCACCGGGACCAGGCACTTGCATAGCGATACTAAAACAATACGTAATGTCAGAATTAAAAAGTTCTTACTTTCATTGGACAACATGCCTTAAGAAAGAACAGCCTGATGACATTTATAAAAATTTACTAATCGATCTATCACTTACTTTTCGCTTGCAATCCCCTATTGCTATTTTGATCCTTGTATCCACGTATCAGATTGGTCAGAACGGCGAGTATCTCGACCTGGGTCGAGATGATCTCTTCTCGCGCCGGTTCGCACCTGGCCGCCACATCGCTCAGCAGGGTGTTCAGGCAGAAGCTGAATCGTTCCGCGACCGGAACCCGTTCGGCGAGCGAAACTTTCACCTCGTCGCGCCACACCGCCTTTGGAAGACCGCGCAATAATCTCAATAGATACGGCAAAATTTTATCCCGGTGCTGGAGGCCGGATTCCAAAAAATAAATTCCCAATGCGATGGTCGCATCCTGACCTCTCTGATCCAGGCGGAATACACCCAGAGCGGAATCTTGTGGACATAACTTGTACAGCTTGGCTACCTGCGATTAGACATAAAAAATATTATTTTTAGATCCCGATAAAAGTTGCGTTAATCTAATTCCTTTAGTCATGAAAAGTCAAACAGGATAAGCTCTTTTAAAAGAAAAATAATCTTACAGAAAATATTTTAAATTATTGTATTTAATAACAATTTATAATTATAATTAATATTAATATTACGTATACATTTTAATAAAATAATATATATATATATATATATATATATAATTTCATATTTTTTATCATTATTTTATAAAGATTCATAATCTTATAAAGTATCGATTTCTTCCTACTACAATATTTTACAAATAACTGTACATTTATCATATAATCCTGATAAGTTACACTACGTAATTTCTTGAGTCTGTGTCTCTACGCCGCCGCAAAAATACATTGTTATTGTATTTTCTAAGATTTTTTTCATAGTCATTATGCAAGCTGCAATCGTAATTTTTTCACAAGACAGCAGCGTTAATTATCATGCATCGCACGTGACCCTGTAACAGACCTCAGAGTGACGCGATATCCTTCGGATTGTGTCATAACATGGAAATGTCAGGATGTCAGCTGACACTTCCTGTAATGTAATCCCGATAAAAACGACGGAGAAGGCGGAGGGCGATAGTTGTCCCGTGGTCGAAAAATTGACGTTCGATCGGAGGATTCTCTCGGGGAGTGGATTCAACTTACTTTTTCCCACGGCGTGGGCTTGATAGCGGCCAAACATCTCGCCAATTGTTGGACGGCGTTCGAGAAAAACAACCTCTCGTCCGCCACCATTTTGCCGATCGATTTCGCCACTCGCCACTGACACTACTGACAGACTGGAGCAATTCAGAGACGAACGTCACAAACGTCAGTAACGTCGTCTGCTAGAGTGCGTTCGTAAATTGCAGAAGCATTCAAACGGACCCGATTGATAGAAGTTGCAGCCAGTTCGGCAATAAAAAACAGACCTATAATCCTGATGTAATTCAAACCGAGCACCCCTATTGGTCGCTTGAGATACCGCTTCGGCAAACACGTGTTTCAATCTACTCGATCTACCGCGTTATCAAACTCGCGAAAGATTGAAATACAAATTATTGCAAAGCTATTCAACAAAATCAAAGATTCTCTCTTGTGTGAGATCACGACGCGCCTTTATGCATTTCGATAGTTAGTATTTATTGCCAGTACTTTTTTCAATAGCTTTCTAAGATATTCTGATGTCTTAAAACTTAAAATTGCGTCTTTCTCGAAATTACCCAGGATGGATCATTTTTCCTCTGTACCCTTCAAATAATTTATAAATTAAATTAACATTTTCAATAAATTTGAATTAATATCATTAAATTAACATTGCATAGATTTAAATTAATATCGCACTGACAATTACTTAATTTATTAATGTTATAAAATATCAACATAAGACAGACAGAATTATTAGGTAACATCTAAATGTCATATATGTTTCTCATATTTTTAATCGAATGCCTTAAATAATAAAATAAATGTTGCAATTAAATTTCTGCAATTGTGTTTTGAAATTTATTCATACAACCATATGTAATTATATATTCGTGTTTATCTTAAACATATAATTACCGCGTAGAAGATCTGTATAGCTTACTTGTTATATAAATTTCCTGAAGTGCGATTTTAATATGTTGTATAAAATAATACACGGAAATATTGTATAAAATATTTTATCAAATTAGCTACCTAAATATAGTTATATATATATATATAGCATCATGAAATCATACATATAATTAGGATGAAAAATCATTGCATCTATTTCTATGACAACAGTATATTTAAATACAATATTACATATTTAATTATAGCTAATATCGTACAGTTATGCTATGTAGCAAAAGTCATCCATTTTACAACTACGAACACATTTACAAGTGTTTTTATAAAAATTAAATATCCGAAAAACAGAAAATTTTAAATAATAAACTTATTTGAATAATAAATCGTGTGAAATATCGTAAGAAATGACGATATGTCAGGAGATCATACTTTTCACAAATTTTCGAACTTCAATTAACGTGCATTATATTAATTAAATCTCGAAATTACATATTATATATTATGCTAAAATAATTTATATAAATTTTTTTAGTAAATATAAAAAAATCCTTAATTTTTTATAATTTACTTAAATGGTTCGAACATTTATGTTAACAGACGTTTTAAAACAACAAACGTAATAAACTAAAGGTGTAATTTTAATGAAATAACAATTATAAAAATTTACTTTCCAAATGTTTTAGAACACATGCATTAACATATCTGAGACATGCGCCAATGTATCACGAACTCAAAAATGGATGAATCAATGCTTGCTCTGCGGTAATACGTGTCTTGTAATCTAGATCTAGAAGTTTCATCAATAGATTGTACGCTTCCTTGGGGTATTCGATATCTGGCGGTACCTTAAATAAGTTTTGTAGTAATTTTGAGACATTGCAAATAAAAAGCATTATACATTATTGAAGCAATAGGGAGGAAAATTAGACATTAAGGTTCTACTCTTGCGATAAAGGCAACAAAATGAGATTATGTCACTATTGACGAGGATTCTGCTATTTGTAATGACTTGAATTGTCTTGTCTTTTAACACATAAAAATCCAAGATTCAATCTATGATTATATCTACTTTCTCCTGCATTATTGCTTCGTAAAAAAATATTTAAAATATAAACGAGATATACCTTATGTATACTATTCTCTGTATCATACATCATAGTTTTGTTTCTTTGTTTTAACTTTAGGCACAAAGATATAATATCCACGCCTGGTAAATTTTCACTAAAGATAACTTTTTTACCTGAATCAAACAAAAAGAAAATAAATACTAAATATAATATACAAAATTAATAGAAATTAATGAAACAAAAGATATAAGAACTTCAATAAATAACTCATTTGTCATAATCGCAGTATGTATCAAAATACCTAATTTTTGTGCACACTTTTGTACTTCTTTAGAACCAAATATCGTTGTAATTTCCGCTAAAGCCGTACAGTCGTCGGGCGAACGGAAGAACGGTTGTGAACCACTGAGTATGCATAACATTATCACACCGCAAGCCCAGATATCAATCGCTGAAATTTTGCATTTGTCACTAGAAATACAACTTCGTTTTTCGCGTTATGCGAAAGTATTTCTTAATACCTGATGTTTGCAACAGATATTTCAATAACACCTCCGGAGCACGAAACCCAGGCGTGCCTGCACGATGTGCCAGTTGCTCTGGTCCTTTTAAACATGCCATGCACACTTTAGGTTTCCCGAAGCAAGGGCATTTGTTATTCGTATCTCTTTTAGCGGTAAAATCAGGTTGGAGGCTTACGTTATTCTGAAACAAATTACAGCAAGAGATGAGAAACGATTATTTTAACGCATGACCACTCGTATAAAACATTACTTTACTTCGTTAGGTCTCTTTCGCTTTGTACCGAATGTTTCAAGATTTGCTTCGCTCATTTTTCTCAGTTTCTCCACCTGGCACTCTTGTGCGAGGCCAAAGTCCACTAGCAAATATCTAAACAAAAATTGTATTGGATTGTAATTTTCTACGATTGTAAAAAAAAAAAAAAGTATTTTTTCCCTTTCGCCCAAATTTACCTTCTATTTATACGATCGTAGAGAAAGTTATTAGGTTTCACGTCCCTATGTATGACGTTAAATTTGTGAACTCTTCGTAAAGCAGTTAGTAGTGCTCTCATGTAATCCCTCGTTTCTTCAACAGTCATGTCTTGAACGTATTCCTAGTTATAATTATCACCGTGAGTAGTTTCGATATATTTTCGATGAACACAGATTCAAATATAAATTGGAAACTTACCGAGAACTTGTCGTGCCTCATATATGGCATTACGAATACCACCGAGCTGCGATGCCTCAAACACAATTCTAATCCAACGATGTAATCTTTCCCTCTGAAATATCACCAATGTCAGCTGATTCATATAAAACGACAGTACACTGCCTTTTCTAAAATTTAACCCTACCCTAATTGTTGCAAGTACTGCAATTCGCGTTTGATCCTATCGGGATGGCAGGTGGGAATCAATTGTTTCAACGCATACTTCTTACGTCCGTTGGAAGAAGATTTCAGGGTAGCCAGGAAGACAGAGCTGAACGCACCTTTTCCAACTTTACAATGCACATCGAACAGCTTGCTCACTATTGGGATTGACGTCGTGAGATTTGTACAGCCTGCTGGAACAGCACACGTCATTGTTAAATTTCGTACACATTTTTGTTACAAGATAAACAATGTCAAAATGTTTACTTCGCTAAGAACATTAATATACTATTTTAACATAACCAATCGAATAGAAGCGATATGCGAGTTTCAATTCTTGCGATTCAATCCACAAGTCTTGAAGATTTGTCAACAAAGCAACGCGTACAAAATGCGTGATAGATTGTGGCAAAAAGCCACGGCAAGAAAGACTTGAAAATTAATGCAAAACGATAACAGAACCCAACGATTTGAAAGTAACTGACATAACGATGATACTGCGTGTATATTTATACAACGTAATGTAAATGTATTTATGCAGCAAATAAGTTTAAAAAAAAAATAGCGATGATTTTCCCGGAGCAAGAGCGATACCGTCGTTGTCGCTCCCGTCCTGATACACGTCGTTGGACTCCATCCTGTCCCGTATTCCCGGAATATTTTTAGTTCGTCGTGTCGATCACGTTAACGTGCCATCGAATTCATTTTCTTCCGCGTTCGTGTCATTCACCGCTGTTGATTACTTTCTACTTAATCGTCGGCGCGCGACACAGCTGAGTATAACCTGAACCTGAACATAACCTTAAAAATTGGCGCCATATTCGCGCATTCGTAAACAGCAGGTGCGATAAAAGTCGATTTTCATGAGATTAAAGGTATTATTTTCATTTGTCGGCGAATTTTTCAAGCGCCATTTGATTGGCTACAAGACAGTAGCTGTAAAAATTAAAAAATGAAAAAAAATTCAAAGGTTTGTCGCGAGATAAATTTTTCGAATGCGCTAATTGGCTAGCGGCCAAAAGAATTTAATTTATAATTGTATGTTAATCTGTATGTAAATAACAAACAATAAACAATTCTCATGGTTCTATAATTTAATTATAATTTTAATAAAAAATTAAATATTTCTTATATTTTATTAAAATTCCAGACAGCACGCATGTTTAAAAGATGCCAAAAAAGATAGATATATTATTTGATTAATTGTTGAAATTAAGTCCAACCGACGCTATAATTTAAACTATAATTCAAACTATAGTTCCTTATTTCTAATTTAATCCTCTTATCACATATCAAACAACAAAATATATCCATAATTTTATTTAACAATATATATAATAATTCGTTGTCTCAAATCTATCATTTTTTAAATATATTAATAAACAGTAAAAGAATAAATCCACGTTAACAATTATTCAGATATTGCATGATAAGTTGATCATTTTGAAATTGTTCAAAAGATCGTTCGAAATCGAGACTTATAATTATATACTTGTAATTTTTCGAACTGAAATATTCCTTTATTGCGCACGCGATTGGTTGATTGCTCCTTAAAGTAATTAGTCCATAACGCGGTTATTCGAATCCATCCACGTAGCGTAGATTTTTGCGGAATCTCGCAAGAACCTGGACGGTCAGGCAATTAATTAAATTACTCGCGATAAGCTCGTATTTCACAATTCACAGAATTGTTTCGTAAGAATTTTGTTCTCGATAGATTCGTCGCGATGCATTTTTCGAGAGAGAAACTCCGCGAGAGTATAACATATTTGATATACGAAGATCACGCGAATAAGCTACAAATCAGTTATTCATTAGGATTTACAATATAAGTAATAATTTCATCCAGGACGATGATTCCGATCCGGTTGGGTCGGGTGCTGCAGAGAATTACGGGAGGTCGCCACGCTCGACGACCTTGCTTTGACTTTGGGAGTTTTGGGATACCGACTTGCCGCGGCTTGGACTCGTCGAGCGACGAACAGCTGCGTGACGTTACGCGTCTCGTTGGTAAAGGGTTAGCGAGCCTCGTCACACCCGGCGGTAGCGGTACTACTCGCCTCTATTTGCACGATATCGGAATCGCGAGGGAAAGCACGATCGCTATGGCGCTCAACAAGCTCAGCATCGACAAGGTGGAGTTGGCGGACAAGAGGGTGCTTATACGGTACGTGTGTTACAGTCCTCCCGACAAGATTTCATTGAGAAAAGAAGGCAGCGAGGAAACGGCGAGATATACGCAAACGTAACGGGGATATAACGAGACAAAGTGACTTTCCAGGGTCGACTTCAACGTGCCGCTGAAAGAGGGAAAGATAACGAACAATCAGAGAATCGTCGCCGCGCTGGACACGGTGAAGTACGCCATCGACAAGAAGGCCAAGTCGGTCGTGCTGATGTCCCACCTGGGCCGGCCGGACGGCAAGAGGGACGAAAAGTATACGCTGAAGCCCGTGGCTGAGGAGCTGAAGACTCTCCTGGGAAGAGAGATTCTATTTTTGAACGACTGCGTCGGACCCGAGGTGGAAGCTGCGTGTGCCAATCCGGCGCCTGGTACCATAATTCTGTTGGAGAATCTGAGATATCACGTCGAGGAGGAGGGTAAAGGAGTCGGTCCTGATGGAAGCAAGGTGTGTAAGGATTATTTTCATTATTTTATTTAATTCAGCATCAACTATCATTCAACTATCTTTAAATACGAATATGTAAAAGTATGGAACATAAGAATGATATATTGATTTATTTCAGATTAAAGCAGACAAAGACAAAGTCACCGAATTTAGGGCGTCTCTGAGAAAGCTGGGAGATGTGTATATAAACGACGCCTTCGGAACCGCCCATCGCGCTCACAGTTCCATGATGGGAGATGGATTTGATGTAAGAGCGAGTGGTTTTCTGTTGAAGAAAGAGCTCGAATACTTTGCAAAAGCTCTGGACAATCCGGAAAGACCGTTTCTGGCTATACTCGGAGGGGCTAAGATCGCTGACAAGATCCAGTTAATTAATAATCTTCTGGACAAAGTGAACGAGATGATTATCGGAGGTGGCATGGCCTACACATTCTTAAAAATATCCAAAAACATGAAGGTACGTAACATATTTAGTAAGAATGATAGTAATATTTGCGGTACAAATTTCTGATTTGTACACCCACTCGATTCTAGATTGGAAATTCACTGTTTGACGAAGAGGGAGCGAAAATTGTGAATGACTTATTGGATAAAGCGAAAAAGAATAACGTCCAGATTCATCTACCGGTGGATTTTGTGACCGCCGATAAGTTTGCGGAGAATGCAGCGGTGGGAGCTGCGGATATTGAGAATGGTATACCCGATGGATGGATGGGTCTCGACGTCGGTCCAAAATCGAGAGATTTGTTCGCTGGTGAGTTACATTTTTCCATTATTTATGACAATTCACATATTTTTCGGGGGAAAGTTATACAAGACTAATGCATTAAGTGTTCGATATAAAGGCATTAATCATATTGTCTTGACGCAGAACCAATTAAGAGAGCAAAGGTCATAGTATGGAACGGCCCAGCGGGTGTGTTTGAGTTCGAGAACTTTAGCAAGGGTACGAAGAGCCTGATGGATAATGTCGTTGAGGCCACGACTCGGGGAACGATCACTATTATCGGCGGTGGGGACACGGCGACTTGCGCGGCTAAGTGGAAAACGGAGGATAAAGTGAGCCACGTGAGCACCGGCGGTGGTGCGAGTTTGGAACTCCTGGAGGGTAAAATATTGCCCGGAGTCGCCGCCCTGTCTTCGTCGTAAATTCGTCTTCGAAGTATTAATGTAAAGACCAATCGTACCGCGATGTTTTAACGTTCGTCAGTTCTATAGAAATTTAACTAGTAGCGTTTGAACTTTGGGGTGACAGATATATTCGTCAAACTCGTTAGCAAGACCAAGAACGTATCTATTTTTTGTTCTGAGTTGTCGGTGTAATCGTGTCGCTCCGTTTATCGGAATACCAGCATTCTTTCACGAGGAACATTGAAATTTTACGTTGACTCTTAGATCTCTATAGTACGATCATATTAATGTACAGTTACTGGATGTGTATATTATCTGTAAAATGTAATATACTAAGATAACAATATATAAATTTATCTTGTACATTAGCTACTAAGGATGTAATTGTAAGGAGAGACAGTCGCCGTTATACTAAGTGTAATCGTCCCTGCACGGTAAAAAGTTCGCTCATAGTTTGAACACAGACTTCGGATTGCTCTGCATCGTATCGAACTGTAAATATTATCTTTTATTTAATAGAGTGATTATATACTTCCGGCCGTCTGTAATGTCGAAAATAAATATCAAACGCACGATCTTATGCCTTTTTATATTAAACGTCTTGACATTTACATGTATAATTATAAAATTAAATTTTTTACATTGTGTATATATTTCCCATCCGATATAAAATTATGTACAAATATTGCTTTTTGTATAAATATCTGGCGTCCAATAGAAGCCTGAGATCTGAGAGCGGCCATCCCGCTTCGGGAGACGCTTGTCCCATTATATACATATGTTCTGTGGTTGGGACCCCCCATCATCTGGCACGGACGCGCGCCTGCCGAGTCAGCTGACTGTCATGTATCCCCTCCATCTGAGTAGTTCGGACTTCGGACGTCCGAAGTTCGGACACGAACCATAGCACGGAGCACGGACACAAACCACGTGTGTACATACCATTACCGAGCGTTACGACGTAGTTGACGTCCACTTTCTCAGGCGGCGCGTATATTGCCGAGTGCCATCTCTCGTTATAAATCGCGTTGTAATCGCCAAACATTGTCAAATTGTCAAGCATGGCGGCGACCGTGGCGGTGAAGGATGTTAACACTTTTCTCAGCCAAAAGCAAAATGTTGCCGACAAGGAGCTCGCCGCGGAGTGGGCGCAGCTCGAGGAGCTGTACGGCAAACGGTAAGTATGATAATGCGATATTTTGCGCGATGGGATACCGCGGGATAAGGAAACTGCAATGACAAACCTCCTCGGTCTGCGGTGACTTGCAGGCTTTGGCATCAGCTGACACTGAAGCTGGAGACGTTTGTGAAGAGTCCGGTGCTCCAGCAAGGGGATAATCTCGTGCAGCTCTACGTCAACTTCCTGTCGACCTTCGAGAACAAGTGAGCGCTACCGATTAGGCTGTATTTTAAATTTAAATAGTTAAGGCCTTATACGGTATTCGGTCTCATTCCCATTTATATTTACATTAATTTATGTATGAGGTCTTTGTTCATTTCATTTATTTATTTTGTTTTCATGAAGAATAAACCCATTGTCATTGGTGGAGATACTGGCGCACGTGATACAGCAGTTCCAGGATAAGCAAGAGGCGATTAAATTCCTGGAGAAGACAGAGTCAAAGGTCCAGAGCAACAATGAGGCTGTCGCCCTTTGTAAGGTTCTCAAAGGACAGATTCTGCTGGATAAACTGAACAATCAGGAGCAAGCGAAGAAGATCATAGAGGAAGTGGAAGCTATGTTGGATAACGCCGATGGCGTTACAACGGTTCATGGACGTTTTTATCTTCTCGCCAGCCGGCTGTACAGATTACAGGGCAAACACGCCGAATATTATCGTACAGCGTTAAGGTACGTTTACATATAACGCGTATAAGCTTGTTAACAAGATTACACAGTGTTTATAAATTTTTATATATTTTACAACTAATTTAATCTTTTGTTTTATTATTAAGATATCTAGGTTGCATCGAATTGAGCAGCTTGAGCAGACAAGAGCAAGAACAGCACGCCTTCTTTCTCGGTCTTGCGGCGCTTTTGGGCGAAGGCGTCTACAATCTCGGAGAATTACTAGCACATCCAGTCTTGGAGTCGTTAAAGGGCACGCCGAACAACTGGCTCGTCGATCTGTTGCAAGCCTTCAACGCTGGCGATATCGTCGCGTTAGAGAGATTGAAGCCGCAATGGAGTAAAGTGGCCGATTTAGCGGCGCAGGAATTAAAATTGAGACAGAAGATCTCGTTGCTCTGTCTCATGGAAATGACTTTCAAGCGGCAAGCCAACAATCGGTATGTATACTATTTGACTGTTGTTGAATGCGGCGTGAAGTGTAAGGTTATATCGTTATATGTCTTCTCCTAAAAAAAATACTGTTCACGACTCGCAATGAATTGGATGGTGACTTTACTAGTATGTATATACTAAATCGACTCGTGAAAATCCTCTCACGAGTCGATTAGTAAATGAGTACTTTGCAAGATTTGTTTAACGTGATTTGATGAACTTAGTCAGCGCGGCCGGGCGCTCGTGAGAAAGCGCGCGGCTGATTAATGTGGTGCCGTCTTGATAGGACCATACGTGGCCACGTACAATTCAGTTATGAACATGTGTCATTTCAAAATTGAATGGTTTATTTGTCAATGACGTACGACGTTTTTCCATTCTAGACAACTGACATTCACGGAGATCTCTCAGGAGACACGTCTACCTCTCGGCGAAGTTGAATTGCTGGTGATGAAAGCTCTCGCCCAGGGACTCGTACGAGGTGCTATAGATCAAGTGGCGGGTACTGTCAATATGACCTGGGTACAACCGCGCGTCCTAGATCGCAGCCAAATCGCCGGAATGGTACAGCGCCTCGATGGATGGTGCAAGGATGTTAGCTCGATGGAGAAACTCTTGGAGTCAAGAGCCACTGAAATCCTCACTCTCTGAGAGTATAGACCACTTTCGATTTACTCATTTGTTGTGTCAGCAGAATGTTGGTTCGCGTATTCATAATTATAAAATCAGTTTCTTAACATGTGTGTCACCAATAAATATGAACGATTACTTCTTTACATTTTCTACATTGTGCGCTTATTGACAAAATCCTCTGCGCTTCTAAGGGGGTAATATCACCTTGTGAACCTTAAAAACGAAGAAGGTGTTGTAATTTTTTATAAGAAGTTATAAAAATACAAAACAGAAACAAGAAGTAAATGTTTTATTTGGAAATTCGTGAAAATACATTTTTCTAGTTGTTGGTGCATTGGTATCTATATCAGTGATGAATATTAAATGCTGTCCTCTTTCGTATAATATTAAGTACTTATACTTAGTATTATACAGTACATGAATTATACAACTTTAAGTAAAAATAGCCTACTAGAGCAAATATTGTTAATTCTATTTACAATTTATACGTATTACATGTAGACAACCAAGCACGAGTTTGACTTAATATGATTGGCAACAATTTAAAATATAATCTTATAACAAATATGTAAAAGCTAAAAAGATTAAATATACAATATCGTCAGACATTACGGACTTTTCCACAATTTGAGCACATGATTCTGTACACTCAGCTCTTTTTCAACTTCAATCTCTAAAAAGAACGAAGTTCTAATATTCCATCATTTGTTTGTCTTTCAAATAAAAAAAAAAAAAAAAAATTAAGTACACTTTAGTACTCAGCTCTCTCAGTTCTAATAGAAAATCAATTAAATGAACGCAGTTAAAAGTACTAAACGAAGATCAATACGTTTAAGTACATGCTTATTCTATATCACATGATTGACTTTCCACTTAGTCTCGACTCTTGCTCTTCTTGCTTACATTGTGTATCGTATGCAAACAATGCAATTAAAAAGTAGCGGGCTACATTATTTCGCGATGTATGAAATAATGACTTTAGCGTGCTCCCTCTGTTAAGAGTTATTCGCCGCTTGTCAGAGCTCATTAATACCATCGGTTAGAATCGATGGGCTAAACAAAGCTAGCTACCTATGTAGCAAAATATTATATAAATTTGCAAATGCATCTTCCCTTATTCAATCTTGTTCTTTCAGTCTATATCCATAGACTTTCTCTTCAGGCTGCCATCCAAAACTGGTGGTCCAGAGGTGAGAAATTTCTCTTTCAGATACATGTAATTTTTCAATCTGGAGCCAGCGTAATCCTGAAACATGTAACAATGTCCATATATTTAAACGAATCCAATGGAACATAGTCAAAGAGCGAGAACACGAATACAAGATCCAAAATACATACCCAATAGCCAAACGGTATTTGTGAAAGTTTCGCGTTTACGATGCTCCAGAGACCCCAGAATAAGTGACTAGCTAGTGAAAATGTCCTCACTTCCATCATGATGCGTTCCTCCTCAAGAGATCCTTCTTTCCCCAATGTTTTCAGGTAGGCTCTTATGAAGTTGAGCTGTTGAGAGAAAAACCATTTTGTAAAAAAAACTGTATATTAAAGAGGAGGCGTAGAGGGTTACCCTACACTCTTGTTTAAAATTGATTTAATAATGAAATATATATAATCTTTTTTAATAGCTTCATTAAATAATCTCTTAATAAATTCATATTCGTACATTAAAAAATACTCAATGATATATGAAACTATGTAGTTTGAAATGGCTTTTACAACGCATTAAAAACATTGTACAGTAATATGAACAAATTAAACATACACAGAGCTTGATTTTATAACAAATAAGATAATATCAGGCATTTGAAAAAGGAATAATTTAGGGTGCATTACATAACAATATAAAGTATACATAAAAAAAATATATTTTTGTAGATATCGATGTAAGAAAAAAAAAATGATTGATATGAATTATTCACGCCTATCCATTACTGTCAGAGAAGATAAGTATCCCCTATTTATTTAAAGATTCCCGTTAATATATTCGTGACAAATTATCGTCAGTAGCCTGGATTGTTTGAAAAACCGTTCGCAAACTCAGGTATGAATTCAGCACATATTAATTACGCATACGGAATACGTGTCAATTAAAGTGCTCCAATGGAAGGTAATGCACTTTTAATAAGCACCCGAAAAGATACGTTTCGCAAAGGGTACGCAGGCTATGAATTGACTAGTGAGGAGAGTGTACAGGTACTCTAGAATCGTAGATGAGCGGATTGGTGCTGCCAAGATGGTGGTACCGGTGGCACCCTGGTTCCCACAAATGTAGAGCACCCACAAGTCGGGATCCATCACCCCACAGACAGTTTCACATTGCCGGCCAATTTTTTCTCTGTTTGCAGGCATCAGCCTTGTCTTGACGGATTGCGGTCCTGTGAAACTAATATATACACACGCAGCACACGCCAAGCCGACACCCTGCCTACTGTGCCCTGGTACAGTACCGAATAGCATAATTTTTAGCAACCGAAAGCTGCCTCATTGCCGAATATTGTAAAATTTTGATCGAAACAATTCGTACATTACGGGTTTTTACGATTTACATGAAATGCGCGCATTATTTTCAAATTTTTCATTTTGCATCTCCGAATTAGGATGTGAATTTGGGATAAATATCATATTGTAATCGTAAAAATAAAAACGAAAAAAAATTTCTTACCTAATTACAAGAAAGAAATCAATTGCTATTAAAGTTTACAAATTTTTCCTTTGCTACAACTTCCCCCTTATCGATTTCACGACATGCCCGTTATGCTATACCTATATTTTTTAATTATGATTATTATACAATCAATGATTTAATCCGCTTACGAAAGAACTCATGATATGGTAACACTGGATGAAGCATATTGAACAGATATCTTACCCGGATTACTTCATCTCCCAAGCCCTTCTTTAATTCGTGCTTACCTTTTGCTCCTTCGTGGCACCACCGGCGGAACGTTCGTGAAAGAAAGGATATTCCGGTGCTGTGTAGTCGTACAGCCATTCGGCGAAATGATTGGCGATATCAAATCCTCGATAGTTGTAGGAACAATATTCGAAGTCAATAAGTACTAACTTGGGCTTTCGCGTATTTTGCAGGAGGAGTATATTTCCCTCTTGCATGTCATTGTGGCAGAACGTAACTGGGTGCTTTTGTTGCATTACAATTGTCCTAAAACAGAGATTGGAAAGTCGTAAGTCTCTTACATATCTCGGTGGGAAATAATGTTGGTATATTTTGATACACAAAACGCTTTGAAAATACAAAAATAAAGTATGCGCGTAAAAGAAAAGGTAATAATTGCAACTATTTTTAAAATTATACGATTAGAATTTGAAAAAGATAACTCATTTTCATTCTTTAAGATGTTTCTACTATTAGTCGTGCTTACATATGTAGTTATTGGCCATTTCTCCATTTTAGGTAGTAAAATAATTAATTTTATCCGTTAACATTCCAAATTTGTAGAATTTGTTCATATAAGAATAATTTTTGTCTTTTGATATAGCAAGAGTAGACGATAAATGGCAAATAACTCAAAAGTTAACTCTAGTTATATGTAACGATCGCGACAGTTAGATACTGTCTTTTTTGTAAAACTCCAAATACTACTTATTTACCTGAGCCAATCGATCTCGTGCTCCAAATTTATGCATTTGATCGCACTGACGTTCTCCAGCTGCCGGCTGTCAATGTCCTCGCTGTTCTCGAGGATGTCCGTCGCCGTGTTGAGCCAGTTATTCATCGTGTCCCATATCCACGTGGGCTCTTTGCTAATTGGTATCTGCATCGTGTGTATCTGCCCCATCTTCTCCGCGATCAGCAGACTCAGGGTCGGATCCGCCAGTTCCTTGGTGAGCAACGGCCGGGCCGGGATGTACTCCTCTATACGGCCGCCAGGGAACACTCCGTGCAGCTTGGGGCCGAGTCTCCTCTCGGACAGTAAGGTGAAGATAACGGATTCCGTGATGAGTCCCTCTAAGGCACGCTCCCCGTGCAGCTGTCCGTATAGACGTAACAAAACCTGACGAGGCTCTCCCCTGACCGGGACCGTTCCCTCGGGAAGCTGGACGTTGTACAGCCAGTTACTCAGACCACCGCTGAAAGTAATTTGAACATGCTTCGTCACTTATCGACCTTGCGTCGCTCGTGTATACCTTCTCTGTAGAGAAATCTCACGAACCTGATGCGGCTGAGAATAATGTTCTCCGCCGTGATATGTTTCCACACGCCGTGCAAGTAATCCCGACAGATCCTCGCGGCAGTTTGCCTCATCTCCGGATTCTTCTCCGACATCTGCAGACAAAGAGAAAGACATTTAATTGTATCTCTGGAACACTCGGCGCATAAAAGAAATCCACTCGTTTCTTAAAGCTAGAGCATACACAATTTTCTCTCACCGGCTACTGACAAATCATCTGAACGATTACTTGACGATGGAGGTTATGCGACAAGGGTAACCAAGGGACTGACACGTGCAACCCGAGACCCCCGAGACTGTTTGTCCGTTTGTTTGTCTCAGCGAGGCATGCGATCAGGTGATCGGATTCGCGGAATCTAATTATAAATCGGGCAAATAACGTGCGGATATCATGTCAAAAGACGCGATCGCCCGATCGAGATCATCCGCTGTTGACACGTAAAGCGATTACCAACAATACCAACGCATGCGTCATGACGTCACTGTCAGTGGATCTCAAGGGCTGATATCACAGTCTCCGATTAACGTGATCCTCCGATTAAACTCACTCTTCGTCTCTTTCTAGGGAGACAGTTAGAAAGAGATGCAAAGTGAGTTTAATCGAAGGATCACGTTAATCGGAGACTGTGATACCGGCCCTTCAATGCGCGCTTTTCACGGGCCGCAATCTTGAATTTCCAGCCATGCGTGTTCGTAGCCGCTTCCTGGTGGACAGCGAATTCGAAATTAAGAATAGGAATCTCTTAGAAAGTTAAAGAATTCCTCTTGCGAATCATCTTTCGCGATTAACGTGTTGAACCCTTTTTCAACCCTGTAACGTCCCTACGATTGTGAACAATACAGCCATCGAGCTCTGAGAGGCTTTTATTTTTAGATGTAAAAAAAGGGAGACGAAAATAATTGCTCTTTGCGTAATTGTCGCTGCATTTTCCAGCACGCAGAATCAGAAAAGGCATAATTAGTCGAAATTACAAAACAAAAGTGGAACCTGCACTTGGTAAACTAACTAATAATTAAGTCATATGTCTTTGTTTTTCTTTCGAATTAGACAAAGATAGACATATGATTTAACTATTAATTAGTTTATCAACAGGTTTTGGCTAAGGGCTAATCACCCACGACTTCTTTGAACAAGTTTGCACGGATCGTTGGAAGGATCATTATACAGTCTGCTATTAAAAATATGACGTTCGTATTAGACGAGCGATTGATTGAATTTTTTTCCTTGTTTACGCAGTTCTACAAATTTCATGACTTATCCTATAGGCTGCTAGAATGAGGTATTTTATTTTCTTTATGATTTTTGCGAAGAATCTCCCTGAAGAAGCGATTGATCGAATTTCTTTCTTGATTACGCAGCTCTACAAAATCGCCCTGATGACTTATTGTCAGCCTAGACTGCTATGACGAGTTATTTTGTTATCTGTATGATTTTCCGAAGAATCTCCTCGAAGAAGCGATTGATTGAATTTCTTTCTTGATTACGCAGCTCTACAAAATCGCCCTGATGACTCATTGTCAGCCTAGACTGCTATGACAAGTTAGAAACGATTGATTGAATTTCTTTCTTAATTACGCAGTTCTACAAAATCGCCCTGGTGACTACTCATTGTCAGACTAGGTTGCTAGAACGAGCTATTTCGTTTTCTCGATGATTCTCCGAACTTCCCCGAACTTCCCTGAACTTCCCTGAAGAAGCAACAGAGTGTCAGTGACAATCTCGATTGTAATGACAATTTCTATTTATACTATCGAGCACTCCTTGACCGCATTTTCGATTCGAACGTGACAAGCACTTTTCGTGACAATGTTCCGTTCGTCGCGTGTGGGAAGGAGCCCTCGCACTTTCATCGCGTAGAAAAGAAAGAAGTGTGAAATCAAAATCTTAATATGAGTATTCAAGCGATATAATATCACTTCAAGATTTCCACGTTGAAGTTAAAGATATTTAATTACAAATCAAGAATATTCCTTTTTCTGTATGTCTTGAATTGAAAAAGAATAACGCAGAGCCCGGAAAGCGCGATCAATCGATCCTCCGCAGCCGAATTCCTTTTGGCTTGCGAAAAGAAAAGATTTGCGCAACCGATAAATAACGAGCACGGATTAGATCATCAAGACTTAAAAAATACGATACGAGTAAAGCGTGTAAATTCCAGACGTTCACACGACGTTTCGGAATGTTAAAACGCGAGCTGTTTTTCTGCTGCGCTATGCGACCGCGGTGTTTCATATATTATTTTTCTTTTCCTTTCTTTCTGCGAACGCAGCACCTGGATATACCAGGGTGTCACGCTCCTGGCGAGCCGTTTTCTTATCTACTTTTCTTTTATCTGCATTTTTTATGTCTCGAGAATCTGATCGACTGATTTGAAATAGGAAATAATAACAAGCTTTTGTAGAAACGTTATTTTAAAATGAATATACTCGACGCTTTTTCTTTTTTACATTTTCATTGTCCTTTTTTTGAAATCTATATCTTTTGAGTCTTATTGTTATAGTGATTTTCATCAATATACCTTCCAGTTGCGTTGTTTTGTTAACGAGCAGAAAAAAATTCCATTATATAAACAGACTCGATTTTCCTTTTCAAATCGACATTTTTCTCCGACAAACGCTGCAAATGGAAAACGTTTTGGGATCTACTTCTCTCTTCCTCCTGCATGCAAATATCTATTTTTACGAACGAATAAATTGAACAGAACCCGTGCATTTCCGCCCGGTATTTCCGTCTGTCTCGAATTCTTACGCAATCGCATGTTTCAATTCGGCGCGGATAGAATAACGATCGGGTTAAAAAAATAGCATACCATTTTTTTCCTTTTAAAATAATTATACGAAAACAACTTCCTCTCCGAATGCAGAGAGGTCTTCTCGCTGAGTTACCATCACCACACGGAAAAAAAGGTTTTGCTGCAACAGCAAATCTATTTGTTAAATATACAACATTTTTTTGCTGCGAGAGCTAATTAATTTCGCGATAATAGTAAAACATTTTGTTGCAATAGCAAACAGTTTTGCTGAACTTTGTTATTGCAGCAAAAAATGTTGGTTATCCGTATAGTAGCAAATCCTTTAGCTACATTTTTTTCCGTGCAGAAATGTGTGGCGATCGAAAAAAAAAAACCGACAGTTTTGGTCGGATTTAAACTCTCGGATCTTTGGATCACTAGAAGCAGCACACATTTCTATACGCGATCGCCACACTTGAGATGTGTTCCATAACTCACATATACTACGTTTACGCGAGCGTTACTTCTGTAGTAACTTACGATATATCACTCGTTTACGCGGAGTAAATTATCGTAAGTTACTACAAAATCCCGTTTAAGCGAAGGAAAATCCCGTTTACGCGAAGGAATTATCGTAAGTTACTACAGAAGTAACGCTCGCGTAAACGTAGTAATATATGCATACTTGATCATTTCCCCTATAATGACTGCTGCGTTCGCTTTGGACGCTTTCGTGCTGAAAGCGTCAGTTCATCTTTATTGCTCAGTACATGTTGAAAAAAGATGGAGTGGTGCTTTCAGCACGAAAGCGTCCAAAGCGAACGCAGCCAATTATCATGTTACATAAACAATAGAAAAATGCGTATACATATGTGTATTATGGAACATATTCTTTAATCGTACATCATCAACATGCAACTTTGATTTAGCATACTACCGCGTTAAAGCGATAACGCATTAATATAATACTGCGCACATTAATCTGTCTCTAGATAAACAAATAGTCTGCAGTTTTGCGCGCAGTTCAGGAAGTTCGCAAGGTCTATGAATGGACGTGAGGTCTCACAGACACTGCTTTCATGACCTTCGATGTCCATCTCGGCGCCTGTTTTCAAGGCTTAAAAAAAAAATAAAATAACGCTATGCACGTATTCCGGCGATTGGATGCGACAGAGTTTCAAGAGGATATTGTGACTATCGGACGATAGATAAGCGAAAATTGATAAGCGGCGACATTCCGCGGGAGTGCAAGATTCATTATAAGCCTCCTCAAATCCGTGTGACATATTTGCGTGCAAATTAGCGTATCCTAACTAGCGGACAGTCCTAAAAGACGTCTTAAAGACATCACAAAGACGTTTAAAGGACGATATAATTTTTCAAAATGTCCTTTAGACGTTTTTTAAAGCATTTTTTAAATGTCTTTTAGAAGCTTCTGCCAGCTTTTGGGATAACTAAAATTTCATCAGAATCCGTAAATCGAAAGGTAGAGAAATGAGAGGCGAGAACGAGAATTGGAAGCGCATGTGATTCTCTCTTCGTGAATTCCTCTGCACCTATGAAATCAGATATACGCTGACGTCGTCGAGAAAGGAGACGAGAGGAGAGGAGAGAAGGAAAGGGGACGGGGAAAGCGCAGCAAGAGGATAAAAAAAAAACAGCAGTAATGATTCCAACGAGTAAACACATATTTTATTAATAAACAGTATTTTTTTTAAGCCTCCGGGAAATCGAGTGGAATAAAAAGCGCGACGTCTTAAAGGGTCGAAAAATAGCGTCGGTCCCAAGTTTCCAACAAACAAACACGCGTTTTATTTTTCTAACAGCTTCGGGGAAATCGTGCGGAAAAGGGATTGAGAGGGAGTTTGAAAACAACGTCAGTTCCAACGTCGCGCAAGTCTTACAATTAGCTGCGGGAAAATCGGAGCGGAATGAAAAAAAAAAATGCGACGGAAAAGAGACGTCAAGGTCGGAGAAGCGTAAGGTTTTTTTTCCGGGAAGCGATTAAAGCGAAGCGATTAAAGCGACGCGATTAAGTCCCCATTAGGCGCACGTATTACGTGATAACCTGCGACGGGAAAAATTCCGTTTCGCGCGATGGAAAAAAACTCCGCGAGATGCGGCAATAGGACCCTGTTCGTTTTGGAACTTCTTGCACGCTTCTCGCCTTTTTCTTTTCATATTGGAGAGAAAAGGAGAAAAATCAAATTAGAACAAAAGCAATTTAACGGTCCGAGCTTCGATCTTGGTTGCCTAATAATATTTCGGCGTATCACGTCTATTTTTTTTTTTTAAGAGGAAAGATGAACTGTGCAGGAAGTTCAGGTAAAATAAACACGCCTAAATAGGCAAACAAATAAGAAAACAAAAATCAAATACGTTAAATACCTTGTCCTCGGCGCCCATGTCGAAATCTCGTCGTCGGACGCACGGTAAACGGACTGAAACGACTGGCCGGGCGCTTCACAGACCGAGAGAAAGAGCGAGAAAACGACGACGGGCGAGTTGGCGATCCTCCGGATTCCCCCGGCGATGTGGCACGCGCACCTAGCGCCTATTATAATTATCACCAGCGCTAATTATCACGAGCCGTCGAGCTGCGTCCCGGTTTCCACGCGGTGAGGCCGAGCTCCCGGTTGCTCCCGTTAACGGACGGGACAGGTCGAGAGGACCTTCGGGCCAGGTGGTGGAGTCGGGTGTATCAGCCAGGTACCGGCCAGGTACTTCCGATAGGCCGTCGACGCACGACGACAAACTCACGTGGCGAAGATGATAATCTGGTACGTGCAATATACGCAGGCAGGTGTATTCGGAGGCGTCGTGGAGACGGAAAAGGATGTATCCTCGGCGAGGGACTGTTGTGTGTTCGGCTCTGAGAAAATCCTCGGGAAACCTGACACTCTCCGGAAGACGTGTAACGCCGGCTCGCTCGACGCTGCTCGGAATAATGACTGATAATGACGCACTCCGGTCCAGTCGGGCGCCGCCTGGTACTCGGTTACCCCGCTTGTTTTCGTCCCGCGCACCAATCCGAGTCATCCGAGAGGCCTGGCGCACACGAGCACGAGGTGCCGGCGGTGGGGCGACGGGCGATACAACGCGATAGCCGATGCCGATAGCGCGATGCGGCAACGCGTCGCCGCGCACTTATCGCGCGCGTGTATGTGTGTATGTATGTGCAATACCGCGAATACGTACGTGTACCGCGTGTATACGTCGAGTGCCGCGCGATAAGGCCGAAAGGGGGAAGAAGAGTATAATGCGCTCGTTATTCTCGCGGGCGCCCGCGGTATGATTACGATTATCTTTCTCCCTTCTCGCGCGCGATAAAGCGGATCGAACGCGCTGTGTTTACCCTCTATCGAAATTCCCAGTTTAGCGCCCGAGCGATTGAACGTTTCGAGAGGTCCGCCTCTCGACGCAGCGGCAGTATAACTTTCCTAATGCGAGACGTATTGACGTATAATTGGTTGTCGGCGAGTAGCAGCGAGTAGAGGAGGAGAGATGAAGCTGATAAAGGGCTCGAACAGGCTCCGAAAGTTCGGTTGCCCGTTGAAATCAAGAACAGTACACGAGGCGGCATCTTCCGGAACACCGAGGAACCGCGTTTCCCAGCCGCGGTCGATAAAGTAGAGCGCCGTCGGTAAAACAGGTAGCTTCTTGTCCGGAAGGGTCTGTTTTTTCTACTGTGCTTCAGGTGCGAGCCGTGCGAGGTGCGATTGATCAAAACAACACTAACAACAGCAGTGTTCGTGTGAATGACAGCTGACAGCGTTTCGTCAGAGAGATTCGAAATGACGGAGTCTCCGGGTACAAGTTCGGCTGCTAAAATCTGTGAATTGTAAGTACAACGTTTTACATCGAAGATTTAATTATGATGTAATATGCAAAAAGCATATGTACAAAACTGCAAGGAGCTCGAGTGTTACTGGTCGCTCTAATCCAATATTGCGTCGGCGTGTAACGTTTTTTCTTCTCATAACAGGTGCAACAAGCGCGGGCGTCGGTATACCTGTCCGCGATGTGGCCTAGGCTATTGCGGGGTCGAGTGTTACAAGTCGGACGCGCACATGGATTGCTCCGAGAGCTTCTACAGGCAGTGGGTCGAGGAGGAGTTCAAGTCTCGGGAGAACGATCCGGCTGCTAGGCAAAACATGATGGAGATCCTTAAGAGGGAACACGAGGCGGCCCTGGGGGATGACGTCTTAGGAGAAGATAATTCAGACGAGGGGAGCACCAGCGGCGAGGATTATCCGTTGGATTCAGACGACGAGCAAGAGGTAATTAAGGACAGACGTGTTAGAAATTTGTGACTTGATTAATGCACGATCGTTCTTACGAATATGTATATCTTTCAGCTTCTCGACTTGGAAACCAGATTGCAGAATGTCAATTTCGAAGATCCGAATGAGCTCTGGTCAGCCTTATCCGAAGCAGAGAGGCAAGAATTTGAGGCGCTGATAAAAAATGGAGAGGCGGAAAAGTTGCTGCCCAAGTGGATACCGTGGTGGACTTGCCGCGTGGAAAGAAAATTAATTCAGCCTGTTGAAGAGGACATTAAGGATGCCTATAGCGATTTGAAATATCCCGCCTTGATAGACGTACCGTTATTTAACGATGTGCAGGTTGGTAATAAGTTCACATACTTAAAATAATATAATTAATAAAATGGTTACTACAATTAAACGTTATTATTTGTGTTTAGAAAGCATCCCCTTGCGTACACTTTAACGTGACAAATGTGATATACGCTTACGCATATATTGCTCTTTACTACATTGGAGATTATTCGAACTGTGCAGAGGAGGCTGCCCATGTTTTTCTGACTATCTGCGAAAATATGAGGGATAATAAGGTCTTCAAAGATGCGGACACGGCAATTGAATCCGTTATGGAAAACATAAAAAGCGTTAGTAGCTTGTGCACCTATACATTAACATAAATGTGTATACATTATAACGTATTATTATTAAATATATACTTAGGTTGATTGGTTGCCACAAGATGAACAAACTTTAGCGGCGTTAAGAGAAGCTGGCGCTTCCATTTTGCAAGGACCAGGGCCCGAAATGAAAACCGTTTATACGTCCGCGGCACTCTCCGAGCTCCACCGATTGCTGGCAGCAGCGAAGAAAGAAATTTTAACCTGCAAGAGGAACAATCAAGAATTTACAAAGAGATTTTCGCAGAGACATAGCGACGACCCAAGTCTGTCGAGAAAGAGTATACTTCTGTGCTCGAAGAAGCTGGAATATTATTTATCATGGGTAAAAAGCGCCGGGACAGGAGTCTTGTAAATGCAAAGTTTCGTTTATTTATTAATTATACTGTACATTGTGCTGTCATTTATTAAAATTAATAAATAATATTCTATTAACATGTCATTTAGATCTTCTTTATTATTCACGTTTAATCCTTTTAATCGAATGTTCTATATTATCAGTGCTTTGTGACGATCCGTTCCCTTCGATGTCTCTCTTGAGTTTGCCCCATTCCGCAGCAGCCTTTAAAACAAGAAATGGTAATTCTTTGATCTTGTTTTGCATGGTGTCATTCTCGCTTAATTTTTTCAAAAGTTCCTTTATGTCTGGTTTCATGAGTTTTACAGTGACTTCTTTCGTACTTCTCATCATTTAATGCAATTTCGGTACCTTTATGTTATAAGTCATCGTCTTCATTATCGAGTAAAAAAGGTAAGAATCTCTTCCAAAATTCCCAGTCGATTAATTTTTTGCAAGCCTCTTCGCTGGCTGTCGTATAACATAAAGAAGACAGCAGCTGTAACATTAGGATCGTACATAGTAATTAACGATCTAAATGTTACGACTGTTGTCTTCTTTACATGTTTTATCTTTGCCTTCCTCCACGGATAAAAGCATAAAATACCAAAGTTGATAAGATCTCTGCTCAACAAATTGAATAGCAACTTCACGGCATGATACCAAATTGTTTATGAGTTGTATGAACGTTTGCTGCAATATATTATTGAATTTATCGCCATCATGCGTACAGTGCTCGATTATTCTCTCAACATCTGCCTCGAATCTCGAATATACATTTTCGCATGTTGTCGTTGATACTAGCTAGATTGTACAAAACTGTTATAGTGTCGTGTATCTCATTAGCGGGACACTTCGGAATGTCATTCTTGTCAACGTGATATTTGCAGATTTTCAAGAAATTTAAAATTGGCCGAACAACCTTCATGATCTGATGACCAGAAAATGCAATCTCAAAAGGTAGCGTGAGTGCGAGATAAAACAGGGCTCGCGAAGCATAGTCCTTTCCCTTGTCTGTGCCATCCAGCGCTATATAGTTGCTGATGAAGGCGGTGCGGAGATGTTGTTGTCGTTATAACGTTGTCGTTACAACAATGTCCCCGTACCGCCTTCATCAACAACTATTTTTCTCAATTTCTCTTGACTGCATATCGCGTTGAAAACACGGGCTATCAATTCCTTGCTATTCGGGCTGTCCATTTTAGCGAGGCTCTAAGTCATCGGGAAAGATCGAAAGTTACAAAATTCATACATGACATTCTACGTCAGTCGACTTCAATTCTTCTGCTTCAAAAATAGAGTTAAAATTTATCAAGTGTGCTACGGTCAAAGGGATACTTGACCCTTTATTTTGAAACTAAATTAAATAATTAGAAAAGATTGGAAGTAACAAAATTCATACGTTGGATTTTGTGTCAGATGCAGACACTTTAGCTTAAATAAAATCTTCAATAAATGACGTTGATAAATCTCCTCTTATCAGCACATTACGGTACATTTTTTTATATATCTTTGCTAAGCACATTCTGGTTATAGTTCGCGTGAAAGACGTTATGTCGGACGAGAATTCGTATTCCTGACCGACTATACTCCATTAATATTTGCAAACCGCCAAACTCGACCAATCGTTTGGCCCAGTGTAACGAAGTATAATAAATGTTACGCGTAATAAGTTTTATTATTGCGTCTCTAGCAAGTCCTGTTATCGCTTTATTCGTTAGACCAATCAATAATAAGCGTGCCATCATATCAAGTTCATTTTTATGTGCTTCGCACACAAAGTCTTATCGGGTTTTGAATCGTGTTCATTATTTATGCCGCTGTAAGTGTTCAATATGATGGCACGCTTCATATTGATTGATCTAACGAATAATCAACCAATCAGTAATAAGCGTGTCATCAAATGAAGTTCATCCTTACGTGCTTCGTACAAAGTCTTATCGGGTTTTGAATCGTGTTCATTATTTATGCCGCTGTAAGTGTTCGATATATGTTCTGAAACCAAAATATGCAATATTTTAAGTACTAAAATATGTGTAAGATAATTGTACGTATTATTTTGTTCGATAATATCAACCTGTGAACAATATTGAGACGCGTTGACTATCTTTGGAGATGTGCTGTTTATCATTTTCAGACACCAACGAAAAATAACAACGTTTATAATAGTGGGCTCATTAGTATCGCCTACACTAATATTGTTTTGGCATAACTTATTGTCTACAATACAAATCGCGCTGTAAATTGCTTCAACATCTTCTCCTACTTTCTCTTCGAAGATCTGATAAGCTTCCGGCTTCGATGTTGATATATGGAATGCAGGTAGCGAGGAAGATGAAAACACTATATATAGCAGATTAATTATAGTGGTTTCACGTTTCTCGCTATCTGCATTCACGTTAAATGCTACATCCATCATTTCTGATATCTAATACAAAGCAAAATTGATCGTATATTTATTTATTGATCGTATTTATATAATGATCTAGAATAAAAATATAAATAACTACAAAAGATTATATTTGTATGATGCAATTCTTGCCCGTATATAGTGTGTGTAGACAGCTATTAATCAATAGGAATAACTAATTATATAATAAGAGAGACAAGAATTCAAATCCGTTTGTTAAATTATATGTAATATTGAGTGAAATAAGAACTCTTCTTAAAATATATATATTAAGCATGAAAAATGTGTTATTATTTTTATATTATCTAGACCAAATTAACGTGTCTTGCAAGTTGATAAATTTTTGTAGTTATATGTATATTTATTTTGGCATTAATACTTGCCTTTTCTTTAATTTTCCGTGAATAATTAAAATATTGCGGAGATAAAACACTAAACAGCATGTTACAGGATGATATCATATTAATAGTGTTGTACCTCCTCGTAATTTTCTAACTCTATTAATGCTAAAAATCTGCAAAACAATGTTAATGGAAACGTTATGAAATATTTTTAACATTGCACTGTCGCAGTCTTCAATCGTTTTGTCGTAATTGCCCTGCTTAAAATATGCGGCAGCTCGATTATCGTAATACAATCCCTTAATAAATTATTTGTGACATGAGTGATATCAACAAAATATAAAATATTACTTGTTAATATATATTTCTATTTCTAAAAATTTCTTTCTTATAAAATGTTATACAAGTTAATATTAAAAAAAAAACATTGTCCTTATAAGATGTTATTCTTTTATTACAAATTTATTGAAATTACGAATAAAATTTGCGTGCAAAAGTTCTTTTTTTTTTATGTTAAGCGTGTGTTTCTTTTAATCTCTTCCCCATATTCGTCTAAAATCAAATATAAAATAAATTGGTGCCAGCAAGCAATATAGTATATATATCTATATAGTATATATTTAAATATTATTTTTATATGTAGTGCGATCTTTTACGATCAATATTATAATTCATCATCAATTATATATTAATCGTAAAAGATCGCACTGTGCCATCACGTGTGTGTTCACTATGCTATTATGTGTGCGTAATCACTATGCCATCACGTGTGCGTATTACTGTACCTGGTACCATCACACGTGTAATCACACGTGATGGCATAGTGCGACCTTCTATGCGTGCACGTATGCCAAAATCACTTGCTCGTGAAGCGAGCATGATCCGTTCGTGCATACACGGTGTGATAATCACGCTGTGAAGGTATCATGTCATGACCCCGCACGAATTGTTATCTGGGGTATATTTGTGTAAGATGACGTAAAAGGTTTTTTTCGGGTGCTAAGAGCGACGCGGCGGTCACTAGATTGATTCGCGCGATAGATCTTACAATAGGCCGAACAATTAAGGCTTTCGCGAAATACACACGTGTTCGAACAGATTATCATATTAATTTTCGAGCGACGAATCTATAATATACTTCGCGATAGCTATTGCAATGATAGTGAAATACAACGTTATAATACACGTTATATACTTACCAGTTAAATAAGTCGTGCTACTCGTTTCGGAGCCGATCCGTCTCCGTCTCGTATATTCGTCGCGTTCTGGAAAAGAGGAACGTAATTAATATGGCGGAAGTGCTTCGTCTCACGCACGCGGTCAACTTATTCTCACGTCGCGCGCCGATAGGCGCCGCGCGATCGCGAATTTTCCAAACTTTGAAAGTCAAATGTTATCAAACTCGCCTATTAGAACGATCGTCATTTTGCATGTTTTCTAGCGAATAGCGTATATTAATATTTTTGGAAAATATCCGGCGATATTCGCGACACTCGAAAACGCGATCGGTCACTTTCGCGATTGCTCGCGCGACGTTCCTTCGGCCGCGAACACACGTACACCGCGGAATACGTATTTTCAAAAGAAATATCAATACCCGAGCTCTAAATCTATACTAGGCGATAGATACTGCGGTGAACGCACGCGAGGTTATAATATGGGTTGTACGTACCGATATTAAATGAGCCGCGATGCTCATTCGGGAGCCGATCCGTTCCGTGTCAGCCGCCTTCTGGAAATGGAACGGAAACGGGCTAATGGAAGGGGAACGCCATACGTCATCAATATGGCGAAGGCTTCGTTTCCGCGCGGGCAACTTCGCGTCGCGCCAGAAGCGCCCGCGCTCGCGCCGCGGCGGGCGTCACTGTACGTCGACACGTCCCGTTTTTTACTTTCGCGTTCACCGCGTCTACGCTTGCCTTATACAGCAGTCATTTTTTCGCTTTATGATTCTGATATCAGGTAAATTATATATAAGTTGATATTGTAGATTTGCAAGTTGCGATATCTGCAATATTTGCAATATCGTATAATGTAATCGCTTCGTCTCGAATATTCACGCGAAACATCTTCGACCGAATAAGGGCCAAAGCATCACGTAACATGTCCCCGATCTGACAGATCAGGATACGCCAAAGCTTGTGCGTTATTTTACGTCCACGACAGTCGTGGCACGACTACGACTGTTATATGTGCTTTGGCCTTTGGCAAAATATATGCGTTCGACGAAATATTCGAAGATGCATCTTCGAGCCGGTGTCACGATGTGACGCTACGCGAGTCAAATGGATGGTTAACAAAAGTGTTGATTAACCGAAAATACGCAATTCAATTTTAACATTGCACGCACGGTATACAATAATTGAGTTTATTAATATCGCAAATATATATTATGTAAAATTATTACATTTTCGACAAATAATAAATATAATATATTAGTATCATGCTTTTCTTTATCTCTCCAACGTGTAATGTTATGTGTTCACTTTTTAATTATCACCTCGTTTCAAGGTATGTATGTATACATAATCGACTCCCTACTCCCCGAAGTCCCTTTATGCCCTTTATCATTGCAATTCATCAATTGTCCTTATCGGCGCTCCGCGATTATCCATCGAGTTATCGACGAGCCTGCTTTTGCTCGACGTTTTCGACGGCGTCTCCTCGATGTCGCTTCCGAGCACGTGTATTTTTCGAAACGTAACGTGTTGATGACTTGATGAAAATTTTCTAACATAACGCATAAACGCCCGCGCGTTGGGGAATCTCGTGCCCAAAATTCGCCTCGATCACGCGCCTGTGTGTGTGAGTGTGCGTGCGCAGAATATGTAAAATGGGCGAGTACACGAACGTGTACACCTTCCACGACAAGACCCTCGCCGAGAGGTTGGAGGAGTACACCAACATCCTGTCGTCGCGTGGGAAAATAGTGCCCGCCTCGAACATCCGTACGGAATGGGTCTGCGACGTGGAGCTCGTCATCGAGCCGGTCGGCTGGCAGGCGTTGTGGAAGATATCGCGCGCCACGTGCGAGAATTACGGCATCCGCTATCCGACCATCGTCAAGGTGGAGGTCCTGGGGATGGACTACCCCATGTTGAACGCCCTGGTGAAGATCACGGCCGTCCAGGACGACATACACCTGCCCGAGAAGCACGAGGTCCCGCTGATCGAGCTCTATCCCACCATCGAGCAGGCGAACCACAGCTTGGACATAGTCGGCACGGCGCATTGCGTGGATCGCCTGCGTTTCTTCTACAATTACCTGTGGATGCCGTGGGACGAGGACGAGGACGACAACATCGATTGGGTGGAGCAGCACCTGGAGCGTAGGATCAGACTGTTCTTCGACATGAATAACGGAGTCGTCAGCAAGGAGACCTGCGACATTATCAAATCGTTAATCAGCGAGGGTAAAGAGATACAGAAGAAGATATCCACGTACGAGGCTTTGCTGCCTGAGGACTTCCAGGAGGACGACGTTCCCGAAGAGCTGGCCCAGGAAACGTGTACCTTGATGAAGCTCCACTTTCGGCTTCAGCAGATCAAAGCTGAGATGGACCTGCTGGAGAATCCGTCGTTGAGAGGATTGCTTGGGAGGAATCAGTCGTATAATAGAAGAAAAAAGCGTGGCGATAATGAAAATAGAAAAAACGTGTGCTATTTTGTGTGGCTGGGGGGTGTTGTCAAAGAGCTGCAGGAACTCTCCAGTAAAATTCAAACAATGTTGCCTGAGGATACGCCCATTAAGTATGTTTCGATTCTATTAAGCAAGGATGTTTGAGAGGGTTAAATAATCATTGTAGTTTCTAAATTGTTTGTATTTCAGAATCTGCGGCTATCTCGACGACGTTATGGATATGTTCGAGACGGGCGATACTATTTTTTTGGGCAAAGGAAATTATTCGATTAAAAATTCCAACGGGTTGCAAGAAGGAGGTTTAATTATGGGACTTTCTAACGCAGAGAACACTATAATTTCTCCTTCACTTGAGCCAGATATGACATCGTCTCTGTTCGATCTATCTGGCAATGAGGTATGCCTCTGGTAATTCATTTTCTCACGTTTCTGCTACTTCTGTCATTAATTTTGTAATTTATTTTGTGTAATACAACAGATATTGTTGAGGAATATCTGCATCGACCTGGGAATACTTCAGGCAGGCATAATTGTCAGGAAGGGTTGTACCGTAATTGTAACTGGTTGCAGAATACGTGTCTCTAATGTCACTGCAAGTAATAGCGCTAAATGGGGCGCGGTTGTTATGCCGGGAGCGAAGTTAGTACTTGAGAACACGAGTTTCCAAGGATTGGGGACCGCCATCATTATTTATGGTACCGGCGAGGTCGTTATGAATGATTGTATCTTTGAAGGCTGCGAGGGTGTACGGGTAAAGTTATTTTGCATTAGTCTCCGCTGCGTTGCTCTTTAGAATATTTATAATAAATGTATTACGTCTCTTTTTTTTCCAGCTCAACGACAATGCAAGTTTTACCGCGAGCAGATGTTCCTTCGAGCACATTGAAAAGGGACAAGCTGTCGTGGTAGAAACTGAGAAAGTAACTCGTTCGGAGAGTGTAGAGGTGGGAAGTGAATTGAACAATGCGTCTCTAAAAAATGTCTCTTTAAGCGAATGTAAATTTTCCAACAATGATAAAGGGGATATCACGTTGAGACCGAAAGATACCGCCGCTCTCACCAGATACGTTGCTGTGGTAGAAGAAGGGCCAGCTCCCAAACGGGAAGCTATGGAATTATAAATTTTGCATTATCTGTTCACATTATCATAAATCCTTAGAATTATTACCCTTTTGATACAAAGTGCAAGCTTTTTGGTAAATTTATAAAATCGAATTTTATAAGTTTTCAAATATTTTTCTACAGAAATATAATCTAGTTGAGAGAAAACCTATTGCGTAGGAATAATTTTGCGTCTTGCCCATGCGAAGTTCCGTGAAAATTTGTCACTAATCCATTAATGTTCATTTCTGTTATAGATTAACTTTAATCTCGGTTTAACTTCTTATCTTTTTTCTAATTCTTACGTCCCATTTCTACCAATATAGATTAACCTTAATCTTGGTTTAACTTCTTATGCTTTTATAATTCTTATGTTCATTTCTACCAATGTTGATTAACTCTAATCTCGGTTTAACTTATTTTTCATCTTTTTCTAAGTTAGAAAAAGATAGAAGATAAGTTAAATCGAAATTAAAGTTAATCTACATTGATAGAAACGGAGATGATTAGAACTAGAATAAAATAAAAAGTAAGTAAAAACCTGGTGGCAAAATATCTCATAATTTCTCAGAACATTTTTTAAATATTTTCAGAAATAATTGGAACAGAATTTTCGGAATATTTCAATATTCATATGTATGAAAATTTTTGGTAAATTGCACAGATTTTCTCATATCTATTTAGATTTCAAAGATATGTTAGCGGGAAAATTCTGAAATATTTTATTCTGTTTTTCTGAAAAAAATTTCAATTTGTAAAAATATCTGAAAAATTTGGAGCATTTTGAATTTCAAAATTTTTTTAGAAATTTTGATTAATATGAAAAATTCTGAGACATTTTTCTATAAAATCGAAATTAAAGTTAATCTACATTGGTGGAGATAAATAACATAACCGAGTAGGATTTTTCTTAAAAATATAATTATATCGACCGGTTAAACCGTGATAACGTATCGATGGTTCAAAGTTGAAACCGTATTTTCGTGCAAGTCAATTCTCACGCTAGATGTCGCCAACGTGAAAGATTCGCCGCCGGATCAGTGCTCGCGGTCATCTTGGAGTATCTCGGAGCGTGCGGCGCGTCGAGATATATATATCGTATTATATACTGGACATGACAGTCCTGAGATTACGAATTTCGATAAAGGTGATACCGACTCGCCGCGTCCGTCACGAGCCCGCCACGAGCACGCCCGCGCTAACGCAGCCGCTCGCTCCGAGGCGGAATTTCGCGGTGTTTCGCGCGTGCACCGAGCCGTACCCTAACCTCGTCCGCGGGTCGCCGACTAGGGATGGGCGATACAGTATCGATATTTCAAATATCGATACTTCAGTGCCCAATTATCCCCTATTTGTATCGATACTTTATCGCTCGATATTTCCACGTATCGATACTTGACCCTTGAATATCGAACTTTGGTAGACCTATGTCGACCGTCCGTGGCGGTTGGCGGTGGCGCCCGTGGGCCGGCCCTTGACTATCCTTTGTTTTTTTATGGCCGTTGCCGTTACGTTATCTCAGTGTCTAGAGTGTCCAATGAAGTGAAGAACAGAAGTCTGTAGAGCTAGTTCAAGGTTGAAGTACTTCAAGTACGTAGGTACGTAGTGTACGTACTGTAACAGTAACTCTCTTACAAGAGACTGCAGTTACAATCAAGGTAAGGATAAAAAATAATTATTATGGGAGCTTTCCAGCAAACGACACAAATCGACACAAGCATCGTTTTATCTTTCTTTTTTGGTAATAAGTAACAAAGATAAAACGATACTTGTGTCGACTTGTGTCGTTTGCTGTAAAGCTAGGTATATATTTCTTTTATCTAGTTCACTTTCCAGCAAGCGACACAAGTCATTGAAGTTGTCACAAATGTCGTTCTATCTTTTTTTACTTAGCATTCAATAAATAACAAAGATAGAACGACATTTGAGTTGTATCACTTGCTGGAGAACGCACTCAGATTTTATTATTTATTAAAAGGCTTTTTTATGCTGACACTCGACGCTTGATTTGAGCGTTAAAACTGATCACGTGACCTATCACGTGATCAATTTTGACGCTCAAATCGAGCGTCAGTCAGCATGAAAAAGCACCTTTACTGATCCGTTTTATAGAGTTGAATGGATAATTTTCTTATTTGTATTAGTCTAGACTAGACTTAGAGTGTCCGTATCCAGTAAAGTGAAGAGCAGAATTCTGTACAGCTAGTTCAAGGTTCAAGTACGTAGGTACGTACTGTAACAGTAACTCTCTTACAAGAGACTGCAGTTACAATCGAGGTAAGGATAAAAAATAATTATTATATATTTCTTTTAGTTCACTTTTTAGCAAGCGACACAAGTCATTGAAGTCATTACAAACGTCGTTCTATCTTTCTTTACTTAGCATTCAATAAATAACAAAGATAGAACGACATTTGAGTCGACTTATATCACTTGCTGGAAAACGCACTCAGATTTCTTATGATCTGTTTTATAGAGTTGAATGTATAATTTCCTTATTTGTAATATTTACAGAGTTAAATCTAAGAAAAGTCCTAAGGTGAAAGAGCACATTCCACGTTCCCATTTCCTAACTTCTAACTTCTAACGGCGCACTAACGCACTTACTTTCTATAAAAGTACTAAAAGTAGGCGTGCAAGTTTTCCTTTATTTTATTCTATTTCCTTATTTCTTTCATTTTTTTATTAATTATTAAATAATAATCATCCTATTTCTTTTTCTTTATAGTGCCGCCAAAAAATCCTATTTGGAATTATTTTGTAAAAAGTGATACAGTTGCTAAATGCAAAATCTGCCAGTTAAATGTAAAAACATCTGGAAATACAACTAATTTACATTTCCATATGAATCGATGTCATCCTGATGTTCAGATGGAGAAATCTACAGTATTCGTCAAGACAAAAAGACAAATAGTAATATTTGTTATTTATATTATTACATAACACAATATTTATATTTTTTTTTATTTTTATTCGCCCTTAATTGATGTATGCTTTGAATTTTAGTCCGAAGTAGACAACGAAGATATCATTGACCTTGATGACCCAATCTCATCTCCGGGACCGTCTACGTCTATATCATCAGAAACAGAAACGCGATCGGTATCAGTTTTACGAAATCCAATTGTTTCCTCCAAACAACCTCGAATTGACTCAGCATTTGCAAAACAAAAATCATATCAAGGTATGGAGAAGTTGTAATTATTTAATTGAGTTTTAAATAACTTATTCATTACTAATGTAAGTATATTTAAAAAATTGTTATGATATTTTTAATTTTTTAGATGGAGGATCCAAAGCTGCCGACGTGACAAACAAATTGCTGTTTATGATTGCTAAGGACAACTTACCATTTCGTGTGGTTGAAAAGGAGGGTTTCAAAACCTTCATGAATGCAATATTGCCATTATACACGGTTCCTAGTAGGAGGACCATAACTCATCTCGTGGAAGAGAAATACGAGGTCTTATCAAATATGATGAAAGCAAAACTTTCACAAGTAAATTATTTATCTTTAACTACTGATATTTGGACTGAATCATTAAATATGAAAAGTTTTCTGGGCTTAACGGCACACTTCTTAGTAGAAGAGCAACATAGATCTGTCACAATTGGCGTTGTTGAGATGACTGAAAGACACCAGTCCGAGTATTTGAAAAATTGGCTATTAAATTTAATAGATACATGGAATATACAAAGTCAAAATATTGTAGCCGTTGTGTCAGATAATGCTGCTAACATAAAAAAGGCTATTGTTGATGCCTTCGGTGCAGACAAGCATTTGCCATGCTTTGCGCATACCTTGAACTTAGTTTTGGCGAGAATTATTGATGACGATAATATCGTAAAAGGTTTCTGCGCAAAAATAAAAAATATTGTCACCTATTTTAAAAAATCAGTTATTGCTGCAGATCAATTACGTATTCATTCGAACTTAAAGTTAATCCAAAGTGTTGAAACACGGTGGAATTCCACGTATAATATGCTACAAAGATTTATACAATTGTCCGAAAAAATTAGTGTCATTATTTTGCAATGTCCTACGGCTCCTCCGATGCTAACTGCTTCGGAGTTACAATCGACTAAAGAATTTGTTGAGTTGCTAAAACCATTTGAAGAGGCAACAAAAATCATATGCGGCGAGTATTATCTTACTGCGAGTAAAGTAATTCCAGTTGTCAATATTTTAAAGAATACATTACAGGCGTTTGAACCTTCTACTGATATAGGTCATCACTTTAAAAAGGCGTTAAAAGATCAGTTAAGCAAAAGATTTGAAACTATTGAACACGTATCATCGTTAGCTATGGCTACAATTTTAGATCCTCGATTTAAAAATATTAATTTTAGCGATAAAGTTGCTTGCTCACATGCTATTAATAAAATTACAAGGTTTGTAAATTCTAAGGTTACAGATATTAACCATGAATTTCAAAGTCAACAAGAAAATTCAGATAATAATGATAAAACAAATTTTTGGTCCTATCATGAAAATCTTGTAAATTTAAATATATCTAAACAGATAGTTAATCAAGATCCTAACCAAATGCCAGAGGACTTTCGTTACTATCTGAATCAACCACCGTTAAAAATGAGTGATAATGCCATAAAATATTGGAATATGGCCCGAGATTCGCCTCTAAGAACCTTAGCAATTAAATATTTATCACTAATTGCCACTTCAGTTCCTTCCGAAAGGTTATTTTCTGAAGCAGGTAAAATAATGTCCGAAGATAGGAACAGGTTGACAGGTGATCACCTTAATCAATTATTATTTTTACATTCCCTCGATCTTGGCGATTGGCATTTATAAATTATCAATTCTGCAATACATCACAAACGCTCCTGCCATCCTTCGCGACTGGTGACGAGGCGTTTGTGACGTATTATAGAAGTGAATTTTTACACTCACGTGCAAAAATAAGTAAAATTATTTTTCTGTTTGCAGTAATTACACACTTCAGTGGACTTATTTTTTATACATTCTATATATTAAGTTTCTACTAATGTTTCTTTTCTAATTTTCTTACAATTTGCTTACAATTAAGAATAAAATGTCTCGTAAGTGTATACATACAGATGAGGTAAATTTGCGTTAATTTAATGATCAAAGTATTGCATTTGCTATTATAGTTTATAAGTTCCATTTTCATTTCTTTCTAAGCAGATTTCATATGTGATATTACTGTTATTACACTCACATGCAAAAATAAGTAATTATTTTTCTGTTTAATGTATGTAATCATAATTACAATAATTATAAGTGCTAATGTGATATAATTATAAGTACACATTTTAATATATAAACAATATAAACAAAAACATTTATTTTATAAATAAAAAATTGTACTTAAGGTGTTCTTGTGTACTCGCGTTGTAACTTTTATGCCGCAAAATACCTCTCATTTTATACTTTATTTTACGTCAGAAGTAAGAAATTGGATGCCAAAAATTTTTGCAAACGGCGAACTAATCTAATATCTAATTATGTATGTTTCGATATTGATGATATCGATACGAGACATTCGATATTTTTTGTGTATCGATACTTTCATTTATGATACATATCGATACGATGTATCGATACTTTCAGGCTGTATCGCCCATCCCTATCGCCGACGAGTCGGACGCTTGGCCCTCACGTTGACAAACGTGAGTAAGTATATCTCTCATCGCACCACCGACACAAGATCGGCTCTCGAATGTCGCCTCGCGACGTGTACCGGATGTTCGCCGAGTATCGCGAACATACGGCGCGAGGAGCCTCGGAGATGTCTCGCGAGCTGTGCATTCGCGTCGCATGCGTGTTGCGTGCCTTTCGCGGCGACAAAAGGGACAAGGGCACGACGCGTTCGCGGAAATTGAGAAATGCGCGCGTTTTCTCAGCCCTCGAGTCGAGCGAGCCCGCGTTCGCGAGCGTCGCTGCAAGTGTGCTCCGTTTTCTCTTTTCTTTTCCCCGCTCCGCTCCGCTCCCCTCCCCCCTTTTGTCGCGCCGGCCATGTGCTCGCGCGCGTTGACACGTGCGCTCGGCGCACGTATGAATGAAACGTCACTCGCGCCAACGCGCGCCCGAGCGCATCGATTCTCGATCGTCTCTTTCTCTCTCGCTGTCTCGTCCCGCTAATGATTAATCGCGTTTTCCGTCGTCCGAGCGAGATAAAACCGCGCCGCCCCCCGTCACGCTTCGATATTAATCGCGGGGGGGGTGGGGACGGCGAAGAGACGCGACGGGGCGGAAGGGGGCGCGGGCCTGTCGTTGGCAGTGCGCTAAACGCGGCCGCGTACTCGTGATGTATCGCGCGGACACGCGATGCATATTCATGACGGTAAGGCGACGTAACAAAAATGAACGGGTTTCTCGGCGTTTTGCGCGGCGACCGAGATTCGCCGCCGATCGAATGTCACGGCGGCGCCGTTACGTGGGATATACCTCATTACGAGCCTCCAACTTAACGCTTCTCCCCCTCCGTATCTATCCCGGGGGATCCAGGTTTCCAGGAAAACGAAATGAGTTTCAAAGTAAAAAGATGGTTGATCCGTTATAAGTTCTCAACAAGCGCTTCTATCGTCGTTGAACACGGATTCTGATTATGCACATTTAAATTACCACCATGACGGTCATCGATGACTGATGACTGACGCTGAGTTTTTTGTTTACGTTTTGCGATCAGTGATTGTCATGGAGCGACTGCCAAACAAATATATATATATATATCACGTTTTTATGCAACTCAATACTATAAATTCAGTATTTTATTGCTCTTTTTCATGTAAAGTCATTTAATCCGGCGTGAATGAAAAATCAGCTAAAATACGCTCGACGTGAACGTGTTAGCTTTGCAAAGTCTACTAAAGGTAGCACATCCACTGTAAACAGATAAAGGGTTTCTACAATATTCTTTGTTGACAAACCAAAAGTTAATTAAGCTGTCGTGTAACTTTACCTCTTTTGCCTCTATATAAGCTTTCCTAAACGAAAATTAATTGCATCGAAAATTTAACCCGGACCAAACGAGCGCGAACAAACACGAGCGAACACAGCTTGTTTCGATAATTGCAAAAATGAGTGCACCGCAAGTATTGGCGAGCAATTGCTCATTCATTTATTGTTCGTGCTCGTTTGATTGCCGATTGTTTCGCAATATTCAACGGGTTTAAAGGCTACGTTCCGATAATTCACCATGCCAGTACTAAAAATCTATAGTGTACACGACGTAAACTATAGATTCTCTGGCAGTGAATATCGGAACGTAGCCAAAGAAAGAATAACTGATTAAAACATCGAATACACGTATGCTAATGTTCGCTTTTCTCTGTTTTTTTTTTACAGTTTTCCGCGGTCGCGCGTTCGAATTGCCTTCTCGACGAGTCGAGGCGCTAATTAGGGCCGAGTGGAAGTGCACGACGACGAAGTCACCGTTGACGGACGCGTCTCGCGACATGGTGGAGACGACCGCAGCACCGACGCAGTCCGTCGATGGACAAACGCAGTTCGGTAACACGCGTCACTTCGAAGATCCGTCAGACTGCATCTTCGTCTTCAAGAACACGTTCTCGGATTACGAGGAGCCGCCCTCCGACGAAGAGGTGAGTAACGACATTCGACTTTCATATACAGCTTCTGTATACGCAATATTACTCGTTTAACGAGGCGATTCTACATGACGAAGTGGCTCAGTTGCGACAGCCGCTTACATATTTTTCGAATGTTGCTGGAATATCGCAATCGCACATCCTGCGCCTAAGTCAAATAATATCTCCGTAAAAAGAAAGTTGTGCTTCGGTTTCTTTGAAAATTGCGACATACGCGGAGTGTAATCTGTAATTTATTACGGTGACATGTATATAATTCTCGAACGTGCCGGTTTGATTTGCCGAGTAAAAAATACCGTTAAGTAGTTCGTTTCTCTCATGAATATACTCGGCTTGAATTATGCTTGTTAATTATCGAATTGATATCGAAATACACCGATTAAATATTTTATATGTTATCTTTTCTTTACCGCGGCTATTTTACGGGAAATTTTAGTTACATTTAATTTGTTTCTTTTGTTTTTGCGATACGATGATGCATGAACGAATTTTAAAACGCTCTTTCTCATGCTATATATAGTAGTAGAATAATTAAAAACCGGTTCGTTTGGATATGTTTAATCCAACTCCGATCGTACGAATAATCTGGCTACACATGTTCGCATATTAATCTAATAAGAATCATTTACTTTGTGATACAAGGTCAAACGGTTCTGCACCTTCGAATTGTGCGGCGTTTATACTTGATCGAACGTAAATTGGCGTGCCGCGCATGACCTAAAAGTTACGCGAGATGTGCGAAAACGCTTCATGTTATAACGTATTTAGCAAATAAAGTAGCAGCCTATGTGCGTGTTGGCAATTGTCGCGGGACTGGAGAAGCCTCCTTCGATTGGCTTCTGGCTCGATGTCGGTCGCCGTTAGAAAACGAGGAACGATAAAAAAAAGTCAGGGGAACGATTTTAAAGCACGACTTTACGGTCGATCACATGGCGGCGGATTAAATTATTCCGCTCCACATTTTTCTTTCAGTCGCAAGGGGCTCCCGTGCGTTCTCTCTCTCTCTTTGTCTCATTCTGTCTCTCTCTCTCTCTCTCTCGTTTGGATGCAGTAAAGTCCGATACCATGCTGCACAAACGCTTTAATACCTGATTGCTTTCCGCTCTGCGTGTGAGACGTCTCGCTCGGGGAGCTTTGGTAAAATATATTATTCAAAGGCACCCACGTCATAATCGCTCGTTTCTGAAATACTTGTCTCCGGTGTAGGGCGCAAAATCGTGGTTGAATTATTACCGCGACAAGTATCTCTATCGCGCTGTATAAATGATTGTCGTGTCATATTACAATAGGATTATCGTGAAAGGATTTCCCGTTTTTTCCCGCGTGAAACGGGAATGTGATTAGTGTGCGGCGAAAAAAAAAGAAAAATTTTACTTTTCACGCGGACAAAAGCTATCGCGGTGTGGAAATTTTATATATTTATTATTAACGTGGAAACGTCGCCGTGCATGTCGCTGGAGTATAACAGGTCCGTTTAAACAATATCCGAACCCGCGAATTTCAATTTTTCTCGAGCAGGATCGATGACGTCCGACAGCGGCATCTTATAAATCCACTTCGTAACGTCGATTATGAGCGATTCGCGCATAATGCATATCCTCCGTCGTATCGCGATCGCATCGCGTTCCTACGTGTATTCGGGAATATCTACGGCACCATCTCCGTGGTGTGTCTCTCGGTTACTTGTTAGGTCGCGTGTTCGCTCGTTCGCGAGGACCGTCGTCGTGTCGTGGCGCCCGATAGCGCCGAGATAAAATGTCGCAACCGAACGCGTACATACAATGTGTCGCGCGCGGCAGTACTTTCCGAAAATATCCTCGCTCCGGAGTTGCGAAGTTGTTGCAAAAAGCAAAAATAACCATCCGAGATAGTAGTCGGTTCGTGCAATGCGCGTGGGAAACGAGCGCAGGTCCGATAAGAATAGTCGCGACTACGAGAGCAGGTGAGACCGCTCGAGCGCGAGAAAATTTATGCGAGGAGAGTCGGGGTCGCGGTGTAACCGGCCACGTGAATGTTTAATTAACATGGTGCTTAAAGAGATCTCGTCTTTGGCGACCGCGCTGCATTGCTGACCGCGACAACGAAAGAATATTTCTCTCGGGGAATGTGTGGATTGTTTGTCGTCACATTGATATACCTCAACGCAAGAATAATATACGTATAATTATGCATGATAATTAACACGCGGGAGTTAAGAGAGAGGCAAGCGGATAGCTATGCAGAAACGAGATGGAATTACGACGGCGGGGGTTGAAAGGGCGAAATGTTGAAACAGAATATGAGAGACGGAAGACGATGTATAACGGTGAAAACGATCAATCATTCGAGAGGACCAGAAAACGGTTGCCTCGCGGCTGCAAATAACATCCCGCGTACGCGTGTGTGCGTGCGTACGTGTGTGCGCGCCGGTCAAAAGCATCGGCGCGGGACCGGGACGTATTGCGAGTTACTGTTCTCGGCCGCTTCCGTCGAAGCCCTAAAACGTCCTGCTCCTTTTTTTTCTCTCTATATACTCGTCAGTATACAGAGAGCAGTCGCAGTTTGCCTCTTCTCTTTTCCTAGAGCTCTCGCTCGCTCTAAATTTCCTCATTAGCGACTCCGCGCGCGAGTGTGTCGATTTCTTTGCAGTTGTTTCTTAATGAGGGGCTGCTTTTTCTGTATACACTCGTGCCGAAGTATGCCATGAGGGAGATAATGGAATTTTTTCTCCGGTGAACGTGCGTGCGCGAAAACGAATATCGCAGTCGCTTTCTGATCTATGCCAAGCCACCGCCAGTCATTCTGCCTTTAAACAACGCATGGAGATTTTCCAAACCGATTAAAGCGGGACGACGTGGCGCTGCCAAAACTCATAATTGTGCATCCCGGTGGGACGGGGAACAAGGGAGAGACGAAGAAGAAGCGAGAGAGACGGAGAGAGAGACCCATTTGCCCATTTGCTTTGCGAACTCAACGAATCGCTTATTCTTCGCAATGTCGCGTCGCATTAATGACGGACGCGGCGGCTGTCGAAGCGTCGTGTCATATCACCTGTTTCGCCGTGCACTAAATATACATCCCCCGGTTTTTGTTCGACTCGTCCGTCGGACGGCGGCGGCCGACACGTGTCGCCGGTCAAATTTTGATAAGCGACGAACGCGGTCGGATGAATCCTATCTGCTCGGTGCACCGAAAGTTAAATATTATCGACCGCGATCGCGACGACACGTTTCGATGATAAAATAAGCGAAGCCGCAACACGTCGCGGCTTCGGCGCGCGCTTTCGTCGGGTTTCCAGCAATTAAAACACACGAGTCACCTGATTCGTCGGGATTTAATTTCAATTCCGTTTCGCCTGGCGATCCCGATGAACAAATTAATTTACTTTAACAGGATCTCTTATCTCGTGAACACTCGAAAGTGAAAGATATTTATCGTTCTTTGTAATCCGGATCAAAAAAAGCGAAAAGCCTATCCAATCTTTTAAAAATATTATACAAAAGTTGAGAGCCGCGTAAAATAGTTTTCAATTTAATTTCTCTAGAAATAGTTAAGAGTGCAGAGTCGAATAAAATTGAAAATTTTCTGACGTGCGTAGGCAGTTGGCTATTATGTGTGACGCAAATGTTTTACAACGCATCGTATATATTGTCCGCTCTGTATTAATCAGCGCGACGACAGGTATGTCACGTGATTTAGCTTGCTTTTAAGATTAAATTAACTTGCCTAGCGCTGCCTAGAGAAAATGCGCTTGGCTATGAAATATCATGCCTCGCGCGCTGACTTGCCGCTTAACTATCAGATCGTAAATCACGATATATTTGCACCGTGCCTTCGATAATCCATGGCGAGGTAAATACACGCCAATATTAGCCACTATTATTACACGTTAGCGCACCTACGTTATCGAGATGCTCGATCCTTTATGCATACGATTAAAATTTCCGTCGTGGAAAGATAAATTCTGAATTTGCCGAGAGAGAGAAAGAGAGAGAGGAATTCTCTCATCACCCTTCATATTTTTCGCGTCTCCCGCCCCGCCCTCCCGGTAGCGAAGATGGTTAACTAACTCGAGAGGCGAATGATTGATGCCAGACATTTACGGTGCATAAAACGGTTAACGCGGGCGACGACGTTTACAGCGAAATTTTTCGAATATCTCGGCGCAATGATGAAATTGGCGGGCGATAGATCAATAAAAGCGTTGTTGCTGGCGCGGCAAAGGAAGAGATCTAGGCAGCTCCAGCTGCGGTTTATTTCGGGTTTTAGGTCCGTGGATGCACGATGTCTCGTCTCTAAGAGGCGCGCGCGCGCGCACACACACGCACGCGCTCGCGCGCGCACGCTCTCCGCGCGTGTGCGCGCGGAGCGTGTAAACGCGAAGAGAGAAATAGATTATTTAGCGGCCAATAAACGCAGTAAAACGCAATGTAGTCCGCGTTTCTCGTTTATAGTGCCGCTGCGCGACAATCATAAACAGCGCAATTTTGTTTACGGTGCGTATATGCGCCAGAATGAGATACGTACGCACCTGTCGCGAGGAAAACGTAATTACCTGCGCGGCCGCGGCGTGCCGAATTTAAGAGCTCCCCCCGCCTCAGTCTCGCGTCCGTGCATTTGATCCGACCGTGATAATCGGCAAAACGATCGTCCCGCATTCGCAGGTGCATTTGGAGCCCGATAAATTGCAGACGCGGGTATATATATTCGCGGGGCTGTATTTCGTATCTGTGGAATTGAAATTGCGCGCTACCGAAGAGACCTCGCGCGACATATCGGTTTATACACGCGACACACGTCGTGTGTGTACCACCGCGATGATTTTCATGGCGGCGTTTATATACTGCGGGTTTTGGACTGGGTTTTCGAAATAGCACGCGCGCGGATGGAATCGCGTTCAGGAAAAAGGCAAATTGCAGATTGGTCGGCTCAACGCGACGAGCAATATCGAATGGGGAAAGGGAACGGGGGAGGGGGGACAAGTGATCCCGACCGCTTTGTTAAGCCTTTTACAG